GCAGTCAGTCTTGAAACAAAACAAAGGGTTTCGATGCCTTGAATCGACATGCGCGCAATACATTGTTGTCTGGGGTAGTGTAAACACGAGGCAGGATGGCGGTCAGTGACCAATCAAAATACTCAGAATTGTTTACTAACAACGGATTAGCCAATCAGCGCACAGATGGGACTGTGTGAATGAAGACTTTTTAGGTCATTGATTATTATTAGATCTAGTTTTGGCCGGGAAATTCCGTTAGAAGAAATGCGTAGCTTTCCGACGATACCAAACATGATATTATGGTATCGTGTAATCCAAACTTATAAACGCAGGAAATCTACCGATTTTTGTGAAATTTTTAAGGAAAATGATTACCCCCACCCCTTTCAACCATATTTTCAATGTAAAAACGATATATTCATTAAAAACAAACGTCGAAAAACAATTTACAAAATAATTAATGCCAAATACGATAATCGGAAAATCGATATTTTTATTATTTATTGACCTTTCGGTGACCCGTGGATCCACTTAAAGATCGCAATGCAAATTGTATTTTTACAGTGTCATCGGAACCCAACCTAAGTTTCAAGTTAGAAATAAATCGACTCAGTAGGCTACACGGAAGGGAAGTTCCACCCTCGAAACAGGAGTCATCTTTAATTTAAAGAAAAAACTGAAATAATAGAACATATTTTACACAGGGTATTATTAAAACACCCCAAAAAAAGAACGGAATTTACCGATTTCGTTCATGTGTGCACAAAATAACACCGTGACTAAACGACGCGCGATGTACCTAAACTCCTAAACCAAACGACTGGTTAAGATGTCTGCAACAAAACTAACAAAGGTAATGATTTCTATGCTTCCCTTTAGCCTAAAAATCGTAATCCTAATCCCAACCCCGACAAAAAATGTAGATTACAATCTAAGGGTACATTATTTTACCAAAAGCTTTGCAGCAAGCAATGCCTGAAATAGAACAGAAGAAGAAGAAATGCGTCAACCAAGTTTGTAGAGTCCATTTTGTTTGGGCCTTGTCGGGTCTTGTAGGAGGAGATATGGAATGGTAAAAAAGATGGCGTCATTTATAGAAGACTCACCAAGACTATTGGAATGAATTATAGAAGATTCGAGAAGATTATATTTTACAGACGTACTTACGTGGTCGGGTTGTAGAGCGCTAACCAGAAGGTCTCAGTTTCGGATCTTCGCTTGAGTCCACCTCACTCTGAACTCTGATGCATACGTGACTCACATTAGGGGAGTAAAAAAAGTTGGGTGTTGATCACATTATCCCTTAATACTCCCTTGTTAAGGAAGAATTCAACTCTACTTCATCTGTCCTATGGATCTTTGGGTCTGAAGGACGAACTTTAATTTTTAAAACATACCGCCATGTTTATTTGTTAGAGATCCGTTTGTTTTTGTCTTCTTACAGTCGGCGTTGAAGATCCCATCCCAGACCCCACTGGCATTCCCCCCCACCCCCATCCCTCCCGCCATAGTACTGTCAGGTCTTGGAGAGTCGCAGCTCTTTGATGCCATCAGCGAGGGCAAGACGGAAGTGGTCAAGGCCATCATGACCTACCTGGACAAACCAGAGGCCTTACTCAAGCTCAAGGATCTTGTAAGTCGATTAGCCGTACCCAACTGATCGTGCTCAAACTGTTTCACCCTCCCTCCCCCTCCCTCGCTTAATCTCATCCTCGAGTATCCTCTCCCTCCCCTCGCCCCCTCGAATCTCCCCCTCCCTAACTTTATCCCTAACTTTTTTCAACCTCTTTCCCTCGCTTCACTCCCTTACTTCCTCCCTCACACGACAGGACGGAAATCTTATTACTAGATCAGTGTAAACATAATACTTTTTATAATATTTTTTTTTTTTTGTAACCGAGTACACGTTTTTTTTTTCGTGTGCTATCTCCTGGTGGCTCTATCGTTTGCTTACAAACAGTGTTTCTTCCAGACTTTTTTCTCCGGGGGGGGGGGGCACTTGAAATTTTCGGGGGGGGGGGGGGCGGTAGACTTTCTTCGCGGGGGCGGACACAGTTAAAAGTATATATTTTCTATATAAATTATATAAATTTCATTTCGTTCGGGGGGGGGGGGGGGGGGGGGGGGCTTCGCCCCCCCGAAGAGATGCCTGGAAGAAACTCTGCTTACAAAGCTGTTCACCCTGGTTGGAGTACTCCTCCTGTGTCTGCCAATAGATTCTTCCCAAAGCACGACTGTTATAGATTTTTAGTAGTGCTGTTGTTTTAATTTTAGGGTCAGGATCATGGATAGGGTTTTGGTATGACTTAGGGTTTTTGGTTTGGTACGGGATACAATTTGCATACGATTAAGTAAGTGCTATTAGCGGAAAGTAAACAAAAAACAAACCTAGCACCTCTTTTTAAAGAAGATTACATTATTGTAGCAGAGTTAGACACTGGTATGAACCATACTCCCTTCAACTCACGTGTACACATTCCACTGCGTCCTTTGAAATTCAAATGACCACAAAGTGACCACTACCGGTTGCATCTCTCTAAAACAACCCCGCGAGCTCCCTCTTCTCCCATACTAGAGCAGTTCTAACATCGAGTCAAACTGAAATAGCTTGTTTAGTTTACAATAAACAGCTACATATACAGTCTAAAGAGCCGTACATTGAGTTCACCTGAAATAGCTTGTTTAGTTAACAATTACAACTACATATACAGTCTAAAGAGCCGTACATCGAGTTCATCTGACAGTTCGGTTAATGTCCACGACTCGGTGACTATTTGGGGTTAGAGGATCTTGACAGGATCTTGTTGCTGGACTAGAGCATCTTGTTGCTATACTAGAGGATAGTGGTGATAGACTAGAGGATCTTAATGGTCGACTAAAGAATCTTTTGAGGATCTTGTAACTATTACTAGAGGATCTTGATGCTAGACTAAAGTATCATGATGCTAGACTTGAGGGTCTTGATGCTAGACTGGAAGTCTTTAAAAAAATTGCTACTAATAAAATAGGTATTTGTTATTTTTAACTCTGACCTTGACCTCCCCAGCACGGCTGGACACCGCTTCACTTTGCTGTCCGAGGGAAGCATGTCAAGGTCGTCTATGCTGGGGCGGATGCTCACCCAAAGAACAAGGTTAGAGTTCAACTAGTGGTCTAGGTTTAAAAATAGAGTTCAATTCGTGTTTTTAAAGGCCGCCGGAGTTCAACTCGTGTTTTAAAAGGTCAGGGTTCAACTCGTGTTTTAAAGGGTTAGAGTTAAATGCATATTTTAGCTATACAAAGGTTACGTCACCTCAGGCATTTTCGCCATGAAATACTTTGTTATGATTTAAATGTTTTGTCTTAGGCACCAAAGTATCAGATTGTACCACTTGTGTTAAGCCATAAACTACAGCACCACTTGTATTAAGCCACAAAACCACAGCACCACTTGTATTAAGCCATAAACTACAGCACCACTTGTATTAAGCCATAACCTACAGCACCACTTGTATTAAGCCATAAACTACAGCACCACTTGTATTAAGCCATAAACTACAGCACCACTTGTATTTAGCCACAAAACCACAGCACCACTTGTATTAAGCCATAAACTACAGCACCACTTGTATTAAGCCATAACCTATTGCACCACTTGTATTAAGCCATAAACTACAGCACCACTTGTATTAAGCCATAACCTATTGCACCACTTGTATTAAGCCATAACCTATTGCACCACTTGTATTAAGCCATAAACTACAGCACCACTTGTATTAAGCCATAACCTATTGCACCACTTGTATTAAGCCATAAACTACAGCACCACTTGTATTAAGCCACAAAACTACAGCACCACTTGTATTAAGCCATAACCTATTGCACCACTTGTGTTAAGCCATAAACTACAGCACCACTTGTATTAAGCCACAAAACCACAGCACCACTTGTATTAAGCCATAAACTACAGCACCACTTGTATTAAGCCATAACCTACAGCACCACTTGTATTAAGCCATAAACTACAGCACCACTTGTATTAAGCCATAAACTACAGCACCACTTGTATTTAGCCACAAAACCACAGCACCACTTGTATTAAGCCATAAACTACAGCACCACTTGTATTAAGCCATAACATATTGCACCACTTGTATTAAGCCATAAACTACAGCACCACTTGTATTAAGCCATAACCTATTGCACCACTTGTATTAAGCCATAACCTATTGCACCACTTGTATTAAGCCATAAACTACAGCACCACTTGTATTAAGCCATAACCTATTGCACCACTTGTATTAAGCCATAAACTACAGCACCACTTGTATTAAGCCACAAAACTACAGCACCACTTGTATTAAGCCATAACCTATTGCACCACTTGTATTAAGCCATAAACTACAGCACCACTTGTATTTAGCCACAAAACCACAGCACCACTTGTATTAAGCCATAACCTACAGCACCACTTGTATTAAGCCATAAACTACAGCACCACTTGTATTAAGCCATAACCTACAGCACCACTTGTATTAAGCCATAAACTACAGCAACACTTGTATTAAGCCATAAACTACAGCACCACTTGTATTAAGCCATAAACTACAGCACCACTTGTATTAAGCCATAAACTACAGCACCACTTGTATTAAGCCATAAACTACAGCACCACTTGTATTAAGCCATAAACTACAGCAACACTTGTATTAATCCATAACCTACAGTACCACTTGTATTAAGCCATAAACTACAGCACCACTTGTATTAATTCATAAACTACAGCAACACTTGTATTAAGCCATAACCTACAGCAACACTTGTATTAAGCCATAAACTACAGCACCACTTGTATTAAGCCTCAAAACCACAGCACCACTTGTATTAAGCCATAAACTACAGTACCACTTGTATTAATTCATAAACTACATTACCACTTGTATTAATTCATAAACTACAGTACCACTTGTATTAAGCCATAAACTACAGCAACACTTGTATTAATTCATAAACTACAGCACCACTTGTATTAAGCCATAAACTACAGCACCACTTGTATTAAGCCATAAACTACAGCACCACTTGTATTAAGCCATAACCTACAGTACCACTTGTATTAAGCCATAAACTACAGTACCACTTGTATTAAGCCATAAACTACAGTACCACTTGTATTAAGCCATAACCTACAGTACCACTTGTATTAAGCCATAAACTACAGTACCGCTTGTATTTAGCCATAACCCACAGCACCCCTTGTATTAACCCATAACCTACAGTACCACTTGTATTAAGCCATAACCTACAGTACCACTTGTATTAAGCCATAAACTACAGTACCACTTGTATTAAGCCATAACCTACAGTACCGCTTGTATTTAGCCATAACCTACAGTACCACTTGTATTAAGCCATAAACTACAGTACCACTTGTATTAAGCCATAACCTACAGTACCGCTTGTATTAAGCCATAACCTACAGTACCACTTGTATTAAGCCATAACCTACAGCACCACTTGTATTAAGCCATAACCTACAGCACCACTTGTTCACAGGAAGACAAAACGCCCCTGGATCTATGTGATGAGGAGACTCCATACAGACAAATCCTGGAGGTCAATGACCATGCCCTGGAAGACGGACCGTGAGTACCACAAGCATGTCAGCTGACAGGTGTTTTTTTTTTTATGAACAGACACATTGGCACACTCCAACACGTCAATCCCACCCCATTCCACGACAACAACCCCTTCAGACCTAAACCTTACCCTAACATAAATTTAATTATATTAATATTTAACGCGTTTCTCGTCATTTTTATATCTTTCAACAATAAAAAGTAATCAAGCCATCATTCCTTACATACTCCCCCCCCCCGAAACGCCCATTATGTGTTACGCCATAATACCCCCTTCTTACACATCAAGAAGTACCTAACTAGTTCAAACTTTCCCCCACAGTATCGACTTGTGTAGTTCGTTTATCGGCCGCAAACAGTTGAATCAGATCGGTCCAGACGGCCTGCTGCTCTTTGTTACCTCGGCACTCTGGTCAGAGAGGATGCAGTTTATACTCAGTATTCGAATACGTCCGTACCGAGCCGATCCCCCGATACCACTGCAGCAGGATGAGCAATACTTCAGTGACGTCTGGCACTATAGGTATGGCTTCTATAGCTATAGGTATTGCTTCTGTAGCTGTAGGTATGGCTTCTGTAGCTGCTGGTGTTGCTTCTATAGCTGCAGGTATGGCTTCTATAGCTGCAGGTATGGCTTCTATAGCTGCAGGTATGGCTTCTATAGCTGCAGTTATGGCTTCTATTAGCTGCAGTTATGGCTTCTGTGGCTACAGGTATGGCTTCTATAGCTGCAGGTATGGCTTCTATAGCTGCAGTTATGGCTTCTGTGGCTACAGGTATGGCTTCTATAGCTGCAGGTATGGCTTCTATAGCTGCAGGTATAGCTTCGAAAGCTGCAGGTATGGCTTCTATAGCTGCAGTTATGGCTTCTGTGGCTACAGGTATGGCTTCTATAGCTACATGTATGGCTTCTACAGCTACATGTATGGCTTTTATAGCTGCAGGTATGGCTTCTGTAGCTGCAGGTATGGTTTCTGTTCCTGAAAGTTAGAGCTACAAATATGCCTTCTGTATCAATTAGTTGGCATCAATATTTACAATTACAGAAATGTCGTCTGTGATTAACTGGTATGACTTAAAATACATTTTCGAAATGTATTTTTAGCTGCTGAAATACCACCTGAACCTGCTACTAATTTTAAAAATCTCTCCTAGGACCAACAACCAAGCATGAATTAAAAACGCAGAGAAAATACGCTATTGCCTCCACTGCCCAATTTAGTTTTCCTTCTGTATTCATTGAAGTTTGCGTGCCTTCATACTTCAAAAGATGTTAGTTAGCCTTTACGGTTATAGTGTGAAATATCACTGGTTTAACACTCATCAATCGTGTATTATCCAGCATTATAGATTAAACACGTTTGCTTTTCCGCCAAATATGTTTGTCATGAAAAATTAATAGACCAGATAAACTGATTAAATAGTAAAAAATTAAATTGTAAAAAAAAAAGGTATAGAATTCTCTTTAGACCTAAAGATTGTTTCTCGGCATATGAAGGGAAGGTGTGGTCAGTACTCTGCGCAGCATTTACTTTCCTTACCGTGTGTTAAATACCCATCAGAGCTGGGTGGACTTTGGGACGTGCTACTGACTTGGACCCGGATTCGAATTCGAGACTTTCGGGTTAGTAGCCTATCGCTCTACCGCTTATGCCACGCCGTCCCATGTGATTTCATGTGCTGACTAAATTTTGTTACTGCTGTCCGTGTGTAATTACCTGATAAGTTGATTTTGTTAATGCTGTCCGTGTTTAATGGCCTGATTAGTTGATTAAGTTTTGTTAATACTGTCCTTGTTTAATGACCTGATTAGTTGATAATTAAAATTAATTATGTCAGTGTTTCTCTGTGCTGACAGAATGTTGTGCTGGCTCCACCCCCGGGAGACTCGGGTCAAGGCCTACTTCCTGAAGGTCACGTCCAAGGCCAGATATATTGAACAGGTGCCAGTACGGCTCAGCAAGTACAAGCAATTTGTAAGTATAGGAGGATAATTATAAACTGTTTGTAAGTAGCCTATAGGAGGATAAGTATAAGCAACTTCTAAATAAAGTACAAGTACAAGCTATGTAATTAACCTGACAATTTATTGCTAACCTTTTTCTTCTAGGGGTCATTTCCCAACCCCCCAGCTGATTGGGACGCGACCCGGGCTGAGAGAGAGAAGGCGGTGGTGGATGAGTTGATGAAGAAGTACATGAAAGAACCTGAGGGTCAGTGCTTGACTTGGTCCAGGGCAGTGTTTCTTCTAGACTTTCTTTTCCTCCGGGGGTGCACTTGCAATTTTCGGGGGGGGGGGGGGGGGGACGACAACAATTTCTGGGGGGCGGATACTGTCAAATGTATATATTTTCTATATAAATTCCATTTCGTTCAGGGGGGGGGGGGGGGGGGGGCGGTAGACCCCCCCCCCCGATGAGAAGCCTGGAAGAAACTGGTCCAGGGTTGTTTCCCCTTTTGTTTTTGTCGTTTGTTGCTAATGTAACCTAGGCTAACGCAAATACATACCACAGTGTGAGGGGCAGTCTAAGAAACACATTCATCCTACACTGTGTGGGGGTGGGGAAGAGGCTTGTAGTTTAACCAAACATCCATATATGGGGCTATTAGTACTAGTCACGATGCAAATAAGCAGTCATGTTAAAATAACAGGTGGTCAGGTGTTAAAACCAGGGGGCAAGTGTGCGGTCAAGAGTCTTGGGTTGGGGAAAGCGTTCAGTAATGTCGGAGGGGCAAAGGGTCAGCCAGAAAGAAGTGAGGGCAAGTGAGTAACCGTGCCTGAGTATATTTAATCACAAGAAAAGAGTGGCAAGAGCCAGAATTAAATGCCACTAGACTATAGCTTTAAGCTAAATAGCGTTGTTACTTTGCTGACTAAAATGCAAAAACTAACTTGTGTGATGAAGTATGTTTGTCATCGTTTGCTCCAGATGAAGGCACCAAGGATAAGGACGAGGAGAAGGAGCAGGGAGAGGCCAGCGAGAAAGAGCAGGGAGAGGCCGGGGAGAAGGAGCAGGGAGAGGCCGGCGAGAAGGAGCAGGGAGAGGCCGGTGAGAAGGAGCAGGGAGAGGCCGGGGAGAAAGAGCAGGGAGAGGCCGGCGAGAAAGAGCAGGGAGAGGCCGGCGAGAAGGAGCAGGGAGAGGCCGGCGAGAAGGAGCAGGGAGAGGCCGGGGAGAAGGAGCAGGGAGAGGCAGGGGAGAAGGAGCAGGGAGAGGCCGGCGAGAAGGAGCAGGGAGAGGCCGGCGAGAAGGAGCAGGGAGAGGCCGGGGAGAAGGAGCAGGGAGAGGCAGGGGAGAAGGAGCAGGGAGAGGCCGGCGAGAATGAAGATGTTCCAGAGGAGGACCAGCCTGAAGCTATCAGGCCTGGCACCTTGATGGAGAGGGACTCATCGGCTGGCTGCACGTATGGCATCAGCCGAGGTTTGGGATATCTGGCACTTACAGGTGAGCTTCATCAACATCGTTAAGGAGTACTGCGTTTGTCTTTAGGTTTGCGTTTGTGTTTATGTCTGTATTTGTGTTTGCGCTTGTGTTTGTGTTTTCCTTTTTTGTGTTCTTGTTTGTTTGTGTTTGCGTAACGTTTGCTTTTGTGTTTTCGTTTGTGTTTGCATCTATATTTGTGTTTGCTTTTGTGTTTGCATTTTCGACTTTTTGTTTCTATTTCTGTTTTGTTGTTGTTTATTTTTGTGCTTGCGTAGTGTTTGTGTTGTTGATTTTGCTTATGTGTTTGTGTTTTTGTTATTATATATATATATATATATATATATATATATATATATATATATATATATATATATATATAATATATATGTATATATATATATATATATATATATATATGTATATTGTGTGTATGCGTGCATGTATGAGTGTGCGTGCATGACAGAATGATAACCGCCTAAACTACGTTTCAACAGTTGCTGTGTGTTTCTGCCTGCTCCATACTACCAGTGCCCAGTGGGAAAAGATGCCTGCAGAGTTGTAAGTATTCATAACATATTATATCCATTGGATCATATTCATAACATATTATATCCATTGGATTATTTTTTTTTAAGCCGTAAAGATATGTCATACATTGTTTTATTTCCTCAGGCCTAGTATTGGTGAAGTTGTTGTCCAGATACAAGAGATCCTTCAACAGAATGTAAGTCTCTTACGCTCTATTCGCTTTTATGGAGGGCTTATTATTGCTTTGAAGCTTATGGGTAAAATATCTGTAAATAATTAATTTGTTTATAGGCAGGTCTGTTTGTTAGTCCTAATACATTTTTGCTGATGTTGTTTTTTTTTGTTAAGGTTTTTTTTAAATTTATATTTATTGTATTTTTACAGGGTACGGACTTTTGTTTCTGGTTGCACAAAATAATTTGGTTGTCAACGATGACGAAAATCGTGGCGGCAGAGTTCAAGCTAGACTCAAGAAATTGTTTAAGTTTATTATTGGATTCTGCGTTGGCTACATTTGTAAAAGTGTAGTCGATTCTATGGTAAAAACATGAGAAACTGTTTTGTCAGATTTCATAATAATTTAGAACAGACTATAAATAGTAAAGGCCCTACATAATTATTAAAATATTAGTATTCACCGTTGTAGCGAGGCTTTGTTTTATTTAGTCAAGTGTTTTCGTAACGCATGTGATGTTCCTTGTCTTATATGCAAGACCCTGAGATTGTACATAATTCAGCTCTCGTTGGGTAGATGGATGCAACCAAGAATGGAGAAATTGTGTCCTGCTGTCATGCCGTAAGGAGGGCGACTGAGTCAGCTCGTTTAACAGCCACACAACATTGTATTCAGTGTTTCTTTCAGACTTTTCACAAGGGGGGTACTTGATATTTTCGTGGGGGAGGAGGGGGTAGACTTTCTTCGGGAGGGGTTGTTTGTAACAGTAGATGGAAATCTTCTCGTACATTATGAGAATGTTGAACTGTTTTAAGGAGATAGTTTGGTGGTGGGAATTACCACTGTTAAATGGAACCGAAATTCTCTGAATGGTGGAAAATTTGTTTTACCAAATGTTTAAATGGTAGGAATTTTTAAAAAATCTATTTTTCTTGTTTACAACTCAATTATTATTATGGTTATTATATTTTTCTTTAAGACTTAAATTAGGCTAAAAGCACACAAGCAAAGTTTGACAGCCAACCATTGAAAATCAGGTTTTAAACCCAACCTTAGGTGCTCATGACATACATATGTGCCAGCCTGAGTTCCTCATTGCTGTCTGTCAAGGATTCCCTAGAGCGTCCAATATCTTGAAATAGGTCCAAATGTATCAATTCGTATTTGACTTTTAGTATACTGTTTTTGCTTTATTATTATTATAATTTATCTGCGTGTCATGATTTTCTTTTTAATTTGCATTTCTTTAAAATATAAAAATTATATTGAAACGTTGTAAGAAGTAACAAACAAGGGTAGAGGGAGATAACTCACGATTTGTACTAAAGCTGCCATTTACGTTTAGTTTCATTGCATTACTTCCCATTTAAATCTTTAGAAACTATAGTCAAGGAAGACAACTTTGGGCTAAATTCCTCTATTAGATAGGTATGTTATATAAATTACAATCTTTATCTATTGCAATATCAAATTTTACGAGCTGGTTTCCTTTTTAAACGCAGTGTTAACTTAATGAGACACTAATTCTACATCATATTCAGGGTGCTTTAATATAGAAATTCGTGATCCCTTATTGTGAGATTTCTTAGAGGATTAAATGTAGAAAAACGAGTTAAGCCCATGACAATAATTACGATCGTGGACAATCTCAGCTATTAAGCAAGGTGCTATTTTAACTGGCCTCTACAACACTATGCTTAACTTTGATTTTAATTAAAAACAGTTGTTTCGAAACCACAATTCAACTGGAGGAGGTAGAAACATCTTAAAAAAACAAAAACAAGATTTTAACATAAACATAAAAGACGTTTTTAATGCTAACCACCGTCTAATCTGCGTAAAATCTACACTGAAAGAAAGTTTCCATCCCTCCTACCTTTGGTAATACAATGTAAATCTATTACTTTAAAACTTCAATGTATATCCTTAAAAATAAGTAATGCAATGGGAGACTAATTAGAATCAAGTCCTAATTGTAATTACGTGTAAGACAAAATAAAAGTTAAAAACTATTGTTATTTTTTTTATTCTATTAGCATAGTAAATGTTAAATATTTGTTTTTTTTTAAATTTAAAATAGAGTTTATTTGTATATCACTTTTTAAAATAATGAAAACTTGACTATGTGTAAATTACAAAAATATTGTAATATTTAAATTACAGAAAATAAAAATAAAGTCCATTCTTCTATGGTAGGTGGATGATAACACATAGTTCGCTAATTTAGATCCTTCTCCCACGGGATCCTGAATATGATTAAAACTTAATAAATGGCCCGTTGAGGGGAAGTGCAAAGGGCGCTAAGTCAGGGGTCGGTAACATGCGGCTCGCTAGTTCCATAATAATTATGTTATTTTGATATCATAATTCTAAAAAATTATTATACTGTAAAAAAACAATTTTAAACAAGATAAAAACACTAAGAATAGGTGGAGTATAGCGTATTGTGACGTAGATGTCTATACGAAGGTGTGTAGGCACGAGTACAGTGTGTGTGAGAGTGGCCTCCCCTTGGAAGTGGTGTGCGAGCGTGAAAACAAGTGTGTGAATGAGGGAGTGTGTAAGCAGTAAAGTGTAGCGTCAACTCTGTAAACGTAGGCGCCATAGCGAACACGGTGAGGCCCGAGGCGCCAAATGTTATTTGAAGGGGCGGGCGCAATAAGGAACCGTACCGGGTGACACCAGACTCACCGAAGCCACTGCTATACCCAATGTTGACAAATCTCAGTACCATTTTAGAAAGAAACCGCTGTTTTAGGACGAACCAACCCATATTTTGGGTGGATGGGTGGAAGACTATAGTTTGAGTAATATTAGGGGATAGAGCTCTAGCTCTCTGTGATTTTGAAAAAGAAAAACGTCAAGATTGGATGACCGCAGTCTATTTTTTTTTAACCCGTTGATCTGGGGGGGGGGGGGGGGGGGGTTTAACACGAGTACTGCCTGTTAAAATATATACATTTTATACACAGATTATGAGTTGTTTTTTTTTAATTTATTATACAAGGTAAAGATACGGTTCACAAACATTGCTTAGACTCTTTCATGGTTTTAAGTGCATTTGTACACAAAATCACGCTAAACAACATAAGATGAGTTTATTTAAAAATTAAATTCAGATTAACAGGTGTAACTAGGTCTATAAGATAAGATTTTTGTTTACTTGCACGTAGGTACTAGCACATTGTTTGTGTTGGCCAAGGCTTATGTGAAAAGGTCTTTGACCGCAACACTGCAGGTTTTTGTTCAGTGACGCGTCATTGGTTTCTGGGACTGCAGGCATTTTCTCAGGTGACAAAGCGTTAGTTTACAAGGCTGTAGATTGTACCCACTTGACAAAGGGTTGGTTTACAAGGCTGTAGATTGTACCCACTTGACAAAGGGTTGGTTTACAAGGCTGTAGATTGTACCCACTTGACAAAGGGTTGGTTTACAAGGCTGTAGATTGTACCCACTTGACAAAGGGTTGGTTTACAAGGCTGTAGATTGTACCCACTTGACAAAGGGTTGGCTACAATGGTACTGTCTTGACGATGTGTTATGTGTTGTCTGAGTCATCATTATGTTGCTGCCTGAACCAGGCCCGGGACACCGGTCCTGTGGGTATCCTGGCACACAGCCCTGGCTGATTTGGTTCTCGTTCCACAAGTTCCCGTCATGGCAGTTCTCCTTGTAAAATCATGCCATTTGCATGGGAGGGCAAGACTGACTTTGGAACTCGACCTTTGGGCAACTATTGAACAAGGGTGGGGCTACTGGTTGGTTAACACAGTTATACGGCATACCGACGGGCTGGTTGCCATAACACTCGGCATGGCGAAAGGCTGGTTGTTGTAGCTGGTTGGCATTTCATAATTTGGATACATACAGTTCCCCTGTGGCTGCACGTAGGACGGCTGCGACTTATTTTGAAAGCAGCTAAGATAGTCAGTCGGGGGACGTGACGGCATGCTAGTCCTCGGAAAACAATTGTTGACGGATGAAGGTCCAACGGCATCATAATTATATTAAACTCCCCACGTAATGAACTCTCTGCTAATAGACCATTGGTCTTGTACCGCTGTGCTCATAATTTCTGCTAGGGTAGCACTGTCTATCGGCCAAGTGTACCTAATGTAATGTATGAAATGATATGTAATGTATGAAATGCAATGTAATGTATTAAATACAATGTAATGTATGAAATGTAATGTATGTAATGTATGTAATGTGTGTATGTTATGTATTTACTTATGAAATGTATGTATGTATGTAAAGTATGAAATGTATGTAATGTAAGTTATGTAATATGTGTAATATATGTAATGTATGTAGTGTATATAATGTATTCATGTAATGTATGTGTTTAATGTGTGCATGTGCTGGATAGGGCCTCTGCTAATCCATTGAAAGGCCGTCATTGCACACTGTAAGTAAAAAAAAAATACCAAAGATTTACCTATCGTTGCTAAATGAAATGAAATGAAATGTAAATTACATTAGGGATTTGAACAGACCAGGAAATAAATTGGGACATTTTCGTCAGGACAAGATTTTAATGTTTCATTTTTTTATCGCATTTAAAGCAGTCTCATACTATTACTGTACTAATCAAATGTTTAATGAAGCTTATATTTTAAATTTTTAAAAAAGTTTATATTAATCTAAAACAACATTGAAAATCTTGTCTAATTGCAATTTAATGTTCACCTTGTAAATAACTTTTAAAAAATTTAAAATGTAACAAAAGTGTCAATTGGGTTTTATTTTAACATTAAGCTAATTTCTACCTATCTAGTCTCGTTGTTTTCAATTTTAAATTATGCCATACATTCTTTTAAAGAATGGCATGTAAAAATGTTGGTCTTCAACTGTAAAGAGCCTAGATTTAAATTAATTGTAATTTGAAAGTTTTAGGTTCATGTGATGGAAAATGAAAGCGACCAGATTCACTGAAATTAGAAAGGGTCTGATGCGTGAACCAAAGTAACCATTTTGATAACCAAACCACATCGTTATTGCTGTTTTTGGAATAGCTATACATTGTTAGGGGTCCTTCATAAATGACGTCACGTTTTTGAGGATTTATACCTCCCCTCTCCGCTCAGTCAAACAAGATAGGCTCGCTGGAGCGTAGCTCTGGGAGGGGGGCACCCCAGGTGCTGACCCTGGGGGGGGGGGGGCGCAAAAGGGGTGGAAAAAATTTAAAAGCTGATTTTATGCTGCACTTTTGAATTATAAACAGTCTAAGTTAAGAAATGTAATTGCTTCAAATGTTTACATTCTGATATAACGATTTTCTACATTGATTGTGGTAAAAAAATCAGCAAAAATTAAAAAAAATAGGAGGAAAATTATGCGAAAATGAAATTAGTGGAGGAAAATTGCAGCTAAAATTGCTATCATTCAGAAAAGTTATATCTCTGTTATTTAAAAGGTGAGAGGAAATATTCATTTTGAGAAGAACAGGGTCAATTCAATACCTCTACCAGCCTGTGAAATTACTAAGGTAGAAATATTGTTAGTTAAATATTTTAAATGTTATCTTACACTTCCGTGCTCTTGATAGTATGTGATTGTCCAGGTGTGGCAGACTGTCAAAGTCCAGAGTAGAAAACACATTCTGCTCATCACCAGTCAATTCAACCAACTGGGCAATAATGGGTTCTTTGCCAGCGATAGCTACTGCTATTATGTTGATACCACATTTTCGAATCTCGCGAGATATGCGAATGCCTAAATCGAAACAAAAACGGTTATTACATTCATATCCATTCACTTTATTTCATATTTCAAATATTATTACTTAAAGGCTCCCCAAAGACCAATAGACACAAAAATGACTATGCTGTAACAAAAAAGATCAATTGACACAAAAAACTTACATGGGGTGATCGGGGAAGGCTGCAAATGAGTCACCAAGACAACAATTTTGACTGACTTAGGACTTGCCCCTTGCTCAGTAGAAAATAGCCTTTCGCTTAACACACATTGAAGGGCTCTGTCAGCCCTGGCTGTTTGTCCAATCGGTTGTTGAATTTTTAACATATCCTGTAATGAGATTATTTATAAGTTATTAATTTATTTTCTTTACATCTATTCACAAGGAATGATTATCGCATAATTATCTTAAGGCTTAATTATTCATAATGTACAGCACATATTTTTCTTACTAATGCTGCTACGTTTCTAGAGGAAAATTCATTAAATCTTCCTTTTATCACCGGGTTGTCACAAACGACAATACAGGCTGTTGTTAACTTTCTTTCACGAACTGGAAACTTCCATATTAACAGCGCACAAAAACGTACAATTTTATCATAGTGATGTCGGGGGATGCTCATTGATCCATCTATTACAAAAAGTAGGTCTGCGCGAACATCAACCAAAAAGTCTGAAAAAGTTTGTAAATAGACAAATCTATACATATGAAAATCAATGTATGCATGTGTGTTTGTCTGTCTGTTTTATATGCATTGCTACACAATTCATCAAATCGGCATGAAACTTTGTGACGTTGATGAGATTACTCCCGAGAAGGTTTCTGCAGGGAAAAAATTCAAATTCACCCCTGACAGGGTGCAATTTGGCGCCCCGGCTTATTATGTGAATGCTATGGCTCCTATGGTCGCCCGAGAAATTTTTAGGGGTCATCCATAAAGGACGTCACGCTTTTTTTGACGATTTTTACCCCACCCCCCCTCCATCACACATCGTCACAAAAAGCCAGATCCCCCCCCCCCCTAAAATGACGTCACACCTCATCCTACAACCCCCCTCAAAATTGCAGTTGGATTTTTTTTTTAAACATCGATATTTTTCTCGTTAGTTAAGAGCAAAATGATTATCATAGGATTTACGACCGAGATGATTTGAATGTGCAGAGATTTGCTGAAAGGATATTTACCAATTTTTATCAATTTCTATTACAATTTATAAAAACAGTTTTCTAAAACTCCGGTGAATACGTTGAAAGGATATTTACCAATTCCATTTGGAAATGAGCCTCTACCGGCATCATCTGTGCCTTGTAGCGGTGGTTGGTGTGCCGAGATGTTTCCTGCTTAATACAGATTGAACAATAATTTTTCAAATAATTATAATATTGCTCAAATTATGGAAATCATTGTACAGTATGCAGGGTTAGTACAGTATTTTCAAAAAGAAACTCCAGACTTTTTCTATACATTTCCAGACTTTTTTTCTTTTGAAAATTCTAGACTGATAATGTGTTTGCGACTAATTAATAGTGATGCAACATGTGCAACTTCACTAAAAGTGCAATAAGGCAATAGAGCTTATGTTGAACTTTCTTTAGCCTAATTGCCCCCCCCCCCCCCCAACTTTATTAAAATAATTGATCAACATGATGAAACGGTATTGTCATTTGTACATGATTATCATATGATCAAATGATCTACGACCGAGATGATTTTAATGTGCAAAGATTAGCTGACAGGACATTTACCTGTTCTAGAGCCATTCCCCCGAGCTAAGCGTATTTTGTTTTGTAGTAGAAACCTGTATCTCCAAAGGAGTCTTCCTGCATACAGATTAAACAATACTTTTTAAAGTAATTATCACATTGCACAAATTATTGAAATGACTAGACTACCCGTCAACCTCTGGATAACTGTGGTTTTCGGGGGTCATCCATAAATGACATCACGTCTGTTACCTATCGTCATAAAAAAAACCAGACCCCCACATTCAAAAAGACGTCACACTTCAGACATTTTTGTCTTTTAAAAACACATATTACGGCTGAGCATGGGTCTGACCACATTATACCTTAATATGGTGACCTCACAGGTGAAGTCTACACCTACCCAACTACTTTACCTGCCCAGTGTTCCGCCAAGCCTTAGACAATACGTCTTTATCGTTAAAAAAATTTCAGCGGAGCATGGCTCAGACCACACTATCCCTTCATATGCTGAGGACACAGAAACAGATGAACTCTACTTCATCTGCTCTGTGTCCCGCTACGTCCCGATAGGCAACTTTATAATTGACATCTAAATAAAAAAATGAAAAAAAAATGTAACATGGTCGTGATGTGTTTTGAACTCGTACCCCCCACATATCTGTTACACTATTATCTTAGCTATCTTACGTTTAAAAATACTACACTTTACCTGTCATTATCAGTGTAGCAATTAACGCTAGGAAAAATAGTGGTTTATTTATTGATCTAGGATTTCTTTTTGTCCAGCTAACTGGTAACTGCTCTTCAATGCTGGAATTGGCTATTTCAATAGCTATAAAGATGAAATAGACTGTATTTATTTAGTTTGGTAGGCCTATATGTATATACATATATTTATACTAGATGAATTTTAACAACAATATTTCTAGTGCTAGTCTTAACCTATATCTTAGTCTTTATATATATATATATATATATATATATATATATATATATATATATATATATACCTCCTACATTTGGCTCTTTATGTTTAACAGATGATTAGCCTTAAATAAAATATTTTCAAAAAAAATTACCTGTTGCTCCATGAAACAATGTTATCAATAATAACATCTTTATAGGTATAAATAACATCTGAAAAAAAAAAAAAAAATATATATATATATATATATATATATATATATATATATATATATATATATAAATAAATACACACAAACACACACATATATATATATATATATATAATATATCAAAACTGTTATAGGGTGAAGTTGAGGAGACAACGCGCGGCACAGCGCAGTGTAAGAGGGTTGGAAATAGTAGGTCGGTCCAATAGTTAAAGTATGCTGTCCATTACATATTATAATTACATAGCTGAAATGTGTGTCAAAATGGCAATTTTTTTAACAAAAATATTTTTTCGAACTTTCAAACTGGTTTGGCATAAGGTTAGTTCATTGATCCAATTGAGCCCAACATTAATCAGTTTAATCATGGTTATCAGTTTAACAATGTGGATGCCAATCAGTAGCGCAGCGAGGGGGGGCGGAGGGGGACATATGTCCCCGGGCGCCGACCTTAGGGGGCGCCAAAATGGGTTGGAAAAATAAATCGAAATGTTGAGGGGGGTGCAAATCGAAAGTTTGAGGGGGGGGTGCAAATCGAAATCTTGAGGGGGGGTGGTGCAAATCGGAAAGTTTGTCCCCGGGCGCCGGGAAGGGTCGCTACGCCTCTGATGCCAATTGGAGTAGGTCTAAGTCAAAGCCTGATGTTATAATAAAACTTCATCTCTCTTTGTTTCCTTATCAAAAGTTATGGAAGGTTTTTGAAGGTCTTTTACTGAAATGTTTACCGGACGAACGCAAACTGATATCAACAACCATAGCTCTTCTGTTATATAGGCCACATGCTGCCTATTATGCTGTTCAGTACATGTTTTGGTATGTGTTAGGATTGTTAAATATAAGTATTCGCATAGATTTAGAGTAGCGACCCTTTGGTTTACATGTTTTCATTACCCTTCAAACTATAGTCTATTTTAGTTATATTGAGATTAAAGAATGTAAATAAATAGTACACACAATTCTGTAGAATAGGAACGATTGATAGAGAAGTAACATATAGCGCAGGAAATTTAGAGGTTAGGTAGGGTATAAATGGTGTGGTTAGGAAAGTTTGGCAGTCCATTCTATAATAGGCAGTCTAGGTCTCGTTTGTACTTTCAAACAATAAAGAAGTTAATTATATACAGACTTCGTGTCGACCCTGTCCTCACCTCACATCACAACAGTTGGGTGACGCTTACCTTGTCATGTTAAAATAAATAGCATGTAATTGCGTTAGTTCGAAGTGAGTTTTCATACAAGCCCAACGCACTAATTAAGGCTGCCGCAAAAGATGTAACATATGTCAATGGTGTCAATGAATTTTCATTAAAAGAAAAAGATGTCTAGTGCAGCTTACAAAACTAACGACCTTCGCCGATACTTTTTCTGTGTGCGGAAGTTTCTGTGTGCCGGACAGACTGCCGGACTGTTAGCCGGACTGATAGCCGGACTGACTGCAGGACTGACTGCCGGACAGACTGCCATACTGATAGTCGGACTGATAGCCGGACCTACCTTCGAGAGATCCTGGTAGACTCTGGAGCGTTTCTCTATGAACCTCAGGACCAGGAACCCGCAGTAAACATTGAACAGAACGAAGCTGGCGTTGTATATGGACTCAAGCTGGGGACAGACATGACACGTCCAGTTTTTACATGACTGAGCACCAATAGGGTTTTAACTGTGTTAGTTACTTCCCATTGAAAACAATAATAATAGACAAGGGAAACAACCTATAAGCATTCTCTCGAGTAGCTTAAATATAATTACATTCAACACTTATGAAAATAAAATTTATTTTTCTTTAGTATTAAATAAAAATAATTATAAGCTACTAACACAGTGTTACATTTTTATATTTATTAAATCTAACAAATAATATTTGAAGGTACTTGAAATAAAAAAAAACTGTTAGCTGTTCGTAATTATTGATTTTATAATCAATGAAAATTTCATTTTGTTAACACTATGCATCTTGGAATAAGGCAAATTTAAAAAGGCTGATTTACCAAACAAAGCTTATGATCAAATAAAATGGTAACAAATATTGTATAACAGGAGTGGCTTCAGGGTAAGGCAGAACATAGAATCATTAATTGGTTACACATTTGCACTCCTTAAATTAATGAAAGTACGTGTTGGGGGAAAAAAAAACCATGAAAGCTTTACAGAATTTGTCGTTATCAGTCCTCACTTGCCGATGATGAAAACTGCAATACTCAAGTGAACATGGCAATGCAAACAGGCGCTGTATAAATGAATTTTTTTAAAAATCTAGCTTGATGAAGGCTAACGGCCCATTTGACCCCAATGATACACCGTTCTACGGCAAAAACACAAAAAGCCGCTCAAGTAAATAAACAAATTGTACCACTTGCTTAAAGTAGCTTCTGGGTGATGCATATTCTTTTATCCCTGATATTTTCTCAGAATGTCTAGGACGTTGATAATTAGGCTCTAATTATTGTCCACAACTGACCCCGAGATATAAGGTGCTGGCGGCAGCAACCGGATGTTAAATCAAGTTCTCTAGCACCAATGTAGAGGTCACTGAGCCTGTCCATTGTATGTCCAGCAGGGGGAGGGGATTTTAACGAGGGGTGAATGGGATGAGGTTAGAAATAGACATGCTAGTCATTCCCCCCCCCCCCCAACTTGGATATGAGAGCTGCGGGTTGGGGAATAATTAAATACAAGATATTATTTTGCTTTCTGTCACATTTGATGTTGGGGGATGGGTTGGGGGGGGGGGGTTGTCTAACCACAAGACCACTATTACCACACTTACACTATTCCCACACCCACACTATTCCCACACTCACCTCCTCAATGATGTCTAACCACTAGACCACGCGACACCCACACCCACACTATTCCCACGCCCAAACTATTCCCACACTCAACTCTTCAATGAGTTGTTCTAACCACTAGACATCACTATTCCCACACCCACACTATTCTCACACTCACCTCCTCAATGATGTTGTCTAACCACTAGACCATGCGACACCCACACTATTCCCACACCCAAACTATTCCCACACTCACCTCCTCAATAAGTTTGTCTAACCACTAGACATCACTATTCCCACACCCGCACTATTCCCACACTCCATTCCCACACTCACCTCATCAATGATATTACTGTAAAAAGGCACGATTGAAACTAAGAGCATCACAGTCCAGTAGGTCCACAGTACTGATGACGTCATGAAGCCCTTCATCCGCTCCAGTCCCAGAATAAGTAGCGACAGAAGCTGTGGAACACAGATACAACTGAACATGCGCACAACAACATTGCACTACGTGGTATCATGTTAATGCTCTTTAGTAGTGAAAGTGAGGCCAGTAATCATATTATACAAACACGATTAAGGACAGATGCGCGTAATTAACTTGAAGTGGAGTACAAATACGATATAAGGATACTTTAAAGAGGGAGAACTGCTCTTTGTAATATTAAAATACAAACCGATTAATTATGGGAAACAATAGTATTTGAGGTAATATTGTTAAAACTCGAATTTTACTGATTTATGTAAAACAACACGGTGTAGGCAACACCATCAATACTGATATATACAACAACAACAACAGCCGCACTGATTTTCAACACTGAATTATACAACACTAGTTTACACAACAACATCATTAGTTTATCAACACAAGTTCACACTACAACAGCATTCTTTTATCAACACAAGTTCACACTACAACAGCATTGTTATTATTCCGGAACTGTACAGCAGTAAAAAACAGTAAAACCATGGCGTAGTCTGTCGAGCCGTTCCGGAAACCACCGGAAATACTGTAAACCATCATTTATTTGCCGCCATATTATTTTTAATACATAATGTTTAAAAATGTGCAAGGATTGATTTTAGTTGCATTTTAAATACTGTTTTGCTAATTATTTTGTATTTCTAATTAATTTAAGTGTATGTGCTAATTATTGCTGCTACTAAACATTATTCTAGTTATTCTTACTACTTTTAACTTTAGTTAATCTAATCGTCTTATTTACTAACAGAACTAGAGCTGGTTGTCGCAAATCTTCTGAAGGTTTTTTCTGTTTCTTAAAAAAAAAACACATTAATTACTACACTCGACTTTATTAATAATATTTAGATTTACTAGATCTAATTGTTGCTAATTTTTTGTCAGTTAAACATTAAATTAAGTTAAAACATTAATTTAATGCACTTGACTTTATTTTTCTTCCACCGGTCAAATAATCTAGAAAATCTATACAGTAACGAATGTTACCGAAACTCAACGAACATTACATTACCCAATAATTTCCGACGCTAGGCCTATATCGTGATTTTACCATATAAGCTTCTCTAATCTTCTCTAATCTTTTCTAATCTTCAATAATCTATTTCAACAGCCTTGTGAGATCGTCTATAAAATATAAATCAAAATGACAAGGCCCAAACAAAATGGACTCTACAAACTTTGATGACGTATGGTTGCCACTCTGTTCTATCTCAGGCATCGCGTGCTGTAAAGCTTGTGGCAAGTTTATTTGTTTTATCGCTGGTAAGATGTGTATTTTAAGAAAATTATCTCAATCCACTCCGATGTAAGGCTAGAGTGAAGTGAAGAAATCCTTACCTTAGAAGACGACATTTTAATATAAAAAGTGAGTCGTTTGCTTTACGTACACCGAGACTGGAAAAGTCTATGTAATCATACTTTTTAAATTTTTTCTTTTTTTTTTAAATCATAATTTTTAAAAAATTATTTTTTAAAATATGGCAAGCGATAAAATTATAGCTACAATTTTAAAAATTAAAGTCGATTAGGAACCATCGATTACACTCCTTTTCAGATTTTTGTATTGAACATAAGCCGTTGAAAATGATTTTGAATTATTGTATAAATTTAAATATTTAATAAAACCGCCATCAATCCCACCTTGAACTGAACTGGCCAGGGAGAGTAAAAAGATTAGAGTCATAACATTTATTGTCCATGATAAATATTAAATACGGACATGGTGATCTAAGAAAACAAAATGGCGAACAAGGGAATATTTTCATTTCGATTCAGGCTTTTAAAATTCGTTTGTATTCATTTTCATTATAGTTGGCTTATTTTTTTATGACTGTTATGCTCAGATTACTAATATCTAACATTATTCTTATTAATTGTTACCAATGTTTTTGTAGAATGTTTTTAACGCATGTTTCATTATTTTTGTTAGAGTTCTGTGAGTGCTCTACTCTACTAACTATACTAACTAAGCTAGAGATCTAGATTCTAGATCTAGAGACTATCCATCTAGACTATAATAGATTTATATCGAGAATCTAATATTAGATTCTAGGAGGAGTACTCTAGAGATCTATTCTAGATCTAGAATCTATTAACTATTATCTAGATCTAGATCTAGTCTTGAATCTAGATCTAGAATCTAGATCTATTCTAGATTTCTAGATGATACTAGATCTAAATACTAGTAGATCTAAATCCATCTAGATCTAATCTAGATGATTCTAGATCTAGATCTAGTAGTAGATCTAGTTCTAGATCTAGTATGTTACGGCTTTTTAATGTGTTTAATTATTTATTAAATATAAAAACACTAGATCTAGTCTAGATCTAGATCTATTCTAATTTATAAACGTAATACTCAATAATACTTTATAATACTAATACTAACTAGATCTATAGGTCTAGCTAGATCTTATAGTTAGTTAAGTAACTTTTTATTGTACAACAGTAGTCTACTTATTTTCTACTAGACTTATACTTAATAGATCTACTGAGTAGATCTATTAAGTATAAGTCAAGTAGTAGAAAATAAGAGATCTACTCTAGTCTAGATCTAGAAGTTATATATTTTATAAAAATCTGTATTAAACAATTCAATAAGTAGATCTATATTGAAGTATTTTAAGTTAATAGTAATAATAGATAAGTTAAATAAATTAGGCCCATAGTTTATATTATTAATGTTATTATTATAAATGTGTAGCTGGTATAGACTAGTTTTAGAGACTAGTCATATAGTCATATAGTAAATAGTTAATCTTAGTCCTTAGTAATTAGTTAGTAGGGCACTACATACGCCTAGTCTAATAAATGATTAGTCTAATTAGTTAGAGCCTACTTGTAAAATATATTTACTATAGTAGTAGTTATTAGTAAGTATAGTTACTCTATACTGTTACTATATTATAATACAAACAACCTCATAATTGCAAAATCATGACATAAGTGAATCAATTATTTAGTAGGCCAATAATTTCTATATTAAAATAATTTTAATAGTTAATACTTACCACTAAATTACTAGATCTGTACAAAATACATTTTATTTACAGATGACAGTCCTAATACTAATACTTACATTGTTAATATAATATGATTAGGGCCTAGTTAGAGGTAATTACTAATTAGACTTATGATGACTTATGTTAGTCTAATAACTAATAATAGATTCATATTTAATAGCAGTAGGTCTATAGGCTTAAAATAGTATTGTAAAAAAAATAAAGTATGCTTAATTTTTACAGTTGTCATATTACTTTTAGTTCAGTAGGCCTATCTAGACTGTAGATTTAGATGTAGTAGCTTAGTAGTAGTCTAGTAGGCCTGTGATTGGGTAGGTATTTAGTATTTGTATGTAATTTAAGCAAAGTTAACTAGGCTTAATAAGGCTACAATTTTAAACTGTAAAAATTACATGTAGCCTAAATAAAAGGTTACAGACTAGTACATTAAATATCTAGATTAGTAGTCTTACAGTAATTTTAGGCCTCTAATAATAATAGTAAAAATTACTGAATAGAAGAGTAGGCTTACTAGTAAATAGCTGTCTTATTTTAGTTCTACTTAATTAACTTAATATATGACTTAGTCTACTCTTAGTCTTATGTAGTGATCTTTAGAATTTAAAATGCAGAATAGTTGATAAAGCCAAAAGGTGTCAATTGTCATAGATGGATTAACTTACTAATCAAATTAATATAATTATCCTAATATTTATTCTAGTATGTGTATGAATTAATGATAGTTATAGTAGCCTAGTTTGAATATCAATTTTCAACTAATTCCTGAGGTGGCTAAACATAAGTAGTAGATCTTTATTGATACCTTTTTCTTTTTTTTTAATGATATATACATGACTTTTGGACTCTTTTGAAGGCCTATTGTATTTTATGACAAACTCCTTACATTAAAATATTAAAAGTAAACTATTAGACCTAAATTTGTAATGAATGGTAATGGTTAGATAGCCCATACAATCCAATACATATATACACATCATTGCTTTATGATCTTTATAAGACAGACAAATATTTTTATTTATAACCTTAAGAGTTGAAAGTATGTAAACATAATGAGTTTAATATAACAGTTTATGAAATTTATTTATGTTTTTTTAGATACTGTGGATTATACAACTGCATACAGAGAAGAAAAAAAGTCAAGATGAAGCTCAATTTAAAAACTGATCCAAGGATACATGTTGGACCCAAGAAAACTTGTTCATATTGAACAATTATTTTTTTTATATTCTGAATGAATATGGTAATTAAAAAAAGAAAATATAAACTTTGTTATGTTTTTCTTTTTCAGCACTGGTTGTGTGTGCTGGTGTATGCGGAAACTAATTATTGCTACCTTTATTCAATAATTAACTTAAACTATAAATAGTTTTTAAGAATATGGTGCTGAAGTAGATTTCACCTAGTTTTGTTGCCCTTCCATATTAATAAATTGTATGGTCAGCAAAATGTCAAACAGCTTTTACTAAGTTTTGCTGTCCATAACCAGTCAGGTACCAGTTAAAGATGCTTTGAATTTGAATCAGAGACAACCTAAAGGATTAAAATTTCAACTCAAGAACTTTTGCTTTAGCAAATGTGTTCACAAATATGTAGCCCCACTATAAGTCTTACATTTGCATATATCTATCATAGCTGTAAAACATAATGATAAGGGAAGAATCAAGAATATGGGTTTTTCTCAATTCTAGCCATACCACAAATACCAGCATTTAAATGTAGACCAGGCTTAGTGAAGCATGGCTGATAACTAACCATCAACCACAAATACAACAAACTATAATCACTGCCTGTTTCCTGGTAATGTGTTGTTATTGGCCGTGCAAGTTTATGAACATGTTGTAATTGTTTATATATTACAAAAGAAAAATACTTGCTGATCAGATGCATTCCAGATATTTGAGGAAAATATGTTTTCTATAAAGGATAGGCAGCTGTAGCAAATGAGGTTAGGGGAAATGTTGAGTTAAGATAAACTATTTTATAATTGTAATGGCAGAGATACCATCAAAACAACAAATGTAATTAGGTTTGTATGACTAATTAATGAATATCCTATAAATTATAGCAAAATGTTGTAGTGGTCTCGGTGGGGGAGATTTGGACCTTTGTGTCAAGGGCAGTAGCGTAGCGGGGGGGGGGGGGGACGGACGGGGGACGACGACATATGACCCCGGGCGCCGACCTTAGGGGGCGCCAAAATGGGTTGGAAAAATAAATTGAAAAGGTTGAGGGGGGTGCAAATCAAAAGTTTGAGGGGGGGGGGTGCAAATCGAAATCTTGAGAGGGGGGGGGGGTGCAAATCGAAAGTTTGAGGGGGGTGCAAATCAAAATCTTGAGGGGGGTGCAAATCTAAAGGTTTGGCGCCGGCAAGGGTCGCTACGCCTCTGGTCAAGCGGGAGGGGGTTCAGAAAGTAAGATGACACTTTTCCATGTTCAACAAACACTCACGTTAAGAAACTGAATTTAAGCCCTTATTTGCATTATTAAAAGTTGTTTTATAAATTGTTATAAAATAATTCATCAATAGGCCTACATTGAATGTTGGAAAAGCCCATAGGTCTAAATATTTTATGAAAATCGCTGCTTTAAAAACAAAATAGCGGGGGGGGGGGGGGGGGGGGGGGAAGGGGGGGGGGGTTGGCTTAGGTTTACTTTTTTGGGGAAGGGGGAGGTCTGGCATCGTTGTGACATCGTTAATAGATGACCCCATAGTCAGAGGTCGATCTAGATTGATTAGGCCTATATTAAATGTTGATATTAATTACACTTTACTTAATATTACAATGGAATATAGCCTAGTAGTTTATTTATATTAAATAATATAACATCCCCTTTCACCACAACACCCTGACTATACTAATCCAAATTAAAATTAAAATGTTTTGTAAATTACTATTATATTATTAGTAATTTTGTGTTTAAATGTTTTTAGCCTTAGTAAAACCGGAAGTGACTTTGCACTTATTTCACAAATGTTATAAAATAATAAATTTTGGTTCAAAAATATGCTTTCTGGCAACACAAAGTGGAACCACTTTTGGAACCACTTTTCTAGTCTATTCTTATCCGACGTGTGCGTCATCTCGTCACGGTGTTTAATTTTTTGTGTGCACACATTTGTGACACAAAGAATCGGGAACTTCAGTTCTTTTTACTTTCTCGTATATACGAAGTATAGAGAAAGTCTTGTAATCGTGCAAAAAAAAAAAAAAAAACAACCGGGCGTGATCCCTGAACTTTCTTGAATATTCTTATATGAAACAACAGGGGATAGCAACTCGGGATATAGACATGATTTTTAAGCCATTTTAAAAACTTAAACTTTTTAAAATAGAATAAAATCTCGTAGAGAATTGCACATCAAGTAAACGCCAAATAAAATGTGCATAATAGTGCGCAATATTATTAGTACTTTATAAATTCACATGCGTTTTTTTTGAGAAATCGGAAATAGCGTAAATTACTACTTCCGGTCAACGGAAATTACTCAAAATTTGACAGAAGGCAGATAATTAGATCTTTTACTAACTTATGAAATTTCATTTATCTATCTGAAATAGTACTCAAGTTATAGGATTTTGAATGTATATGTAAATAATTAATTTGTAGGTCTGTTTGTTAGTCCTAATATATTTGCTGATGTTTTTTTTTTTAAGGTTTTTTTTTTAATTTATATTTATTGTATTTTTACAGGGTATGGACTTTTGTTTCTGGTTGCACAAAATAATTTGGTTGTCAACGATGACGAAAATCGTGGCGGCAGAGTTCAAGCTAGACTCAAGAAGTTGTTTAAGTTTATTCTTGGATTCTGCGTTGGCCTCTTCTGGAAAAATGTATGGGACTTTATCGTAAAAACATGAGAAACTGTTTTGTCAGATTTCATAATAATTTAGAACAGACTGTATAAATAGTATAGGCCCTACATAATTATTAAAATATTAGTATTCACCGTTGTAGCAAGCCTTTGTTTTATTTAGTCAAGTGTTTTCGTAACGCATGTTATGTTCCTTGTCTTATATGCAAGACCCTGAGATTGTAAATGATTCAGCGTTGTTGGGTAGATGGATGCAACCAAGAATGGAGAAGTCTGTTACCGTAAGGAGGGCGACTGAGTCAGCTCGTTTAACAGACACACACCGTTGTATTCAGTGTTTCTTTCAGACTTTTTTCACAGGTGGGCACTTGATATTTTCGTGGGGGGAGAGGGGGTGGACTTCCTTCGACAGGCAGTTTTTTTTTTTTTTTTTTTTTTTGGCGTTGTTTGTAACAGTAGATGGAAATCTTTTCGTACATTATGAGAATGTTGAACTGTTTTAAGAAGATAGTTCAGTGGTGGGAATTACCACTATTAAATGAAACCAAAATTCTCTGAATGGTGGAAAATCTGTTTTACCAAATGGTTGAATGATGGGAATTTTAAAAATTCTATTTTTCTTATTATCAGTGTATAATTAATAATTATCATTACGGTTATTATATTTTTCTTTAACACTTAAATTTAAGCCAAAGCACACAAGCAAAGTTTGACAGCCATCCCTTGAAAATCAGGTGCCAAACCCAAACTAATGTGCTCATGACATAAACATGTGCTAGCCGCCTGAGTTCCTCATTTGCTGTCTGTCGAGGGTTCTGTATCACCTTTTTTTAACAGTGCGCGATAGAATATCCTTACTTGTAAGTGGAACCACTGAACCCATGGAGCTATTCTCAGACAGGGTTATCCCTAGACAAAGTTATCCCTAGACAGAGTTATCCCTAGACAGAGTTATCCCTAGAATGGGTGATGACTAGCGTGGGTCATTTGAGGACGCCTTATATAGATTTTCTGCACCCACAGATAACAACTAAATGGACCCTCGATATTTGGCGACGGACATATAGCAGCTAAGGGTGGAATAGGAAAATCCTTTCTTGTGAGAGGCCAGACCAGCTGTAAGCTGAGATGCCTAAGCAGCTGGCCACGAGAGTACATCTCACCAGGATATTTACTAACGAAGTCACAGATGTACTATAAACCCTCGGCACTGTTGCAAAACAGTTAAGAACAGAAATGGTGCCTTAGCAGGCTTAGACGACACGTTCCACTACAGCAAGTCTCTAGAGCAGTGTCAAAATACTCGTCGCAGTTAGCGGTGGGCAGTAAGGACGTCGACTTTTAAAATGACCTGCTTACAATTTTACAGTCTAAATGTCTGCTAATGGCAAGAAAGGCGGTTTTTAAAATGCGTCCTAAACTGGCTACATAAAAACTATTAAAGATAAACTATTAAACATAAAACTATTTTTTTTTCTTTTTTTTATGTTGTAAAGTTTTATATATTGAACTATATAGAACCATATATTGAACTATTATTTTAACTATATATAAATCTTACTTTTTCATCACTCTTAAGCCTTTGCCGTAGATAGAAAGATCTTTGCATTATCGGCTATCTGCAAAGTTGAGTTAGGCACACGGTGTTCTCAAGCTGCTTTTACAGGAGGAAGAGCTAAGAGCGGTGTCAAGCAGTGTAGACCCCCTAAGAAGCTATCTTAGGCATCTCTGTTTTATATTTTCAAGCTATATAAAATAAAATTTAGAATCTACTGGCCAATGCACCCTACTTTCCTTCCTCTCTGTGCAGCCGTTTGAACACTTTCATGCTGATTCTCGCCGACTTCACTAGACGCCAACAATACAAATATATGCATAAAAACTATTAACAGTCAATTACGTGCCTACGAGGCGACATCGTCCTTGACATTAGTTTCCATGAAGATTACTTCCTGTGTTATTTTCATCTTATTATGCCTAATAAACTTTTACGAACGATCACATCCGGTCTATAGATTCAATTTTTAATAGACGTACTATTTAAAGCACACAGTTTGTGGCTAACAGACTATTCCGTTGCGCGGCATACGGTCTATTATATTTTTCAGAATTGTTCCCCAAAATTAACAAAAATACCTTATTTAGCTTTATCAATTTGGTCTACTCCAGTAATGTATGGGAGAAGTTACTATTGAATATATTTTAAAATCGATATACTGATGTTATATTTTGCGAACTAAAACAGATAATTTATTAATAGATAACTATCAGTGGGCAAAAAAATCTTCTCTAAAAAAAACCCACACCATTCAATAACACAAAGTAGCTATTAACATTACAAAACAGGTCCAGAGATTCAAGTTGATATATCGACAGGAAAGTATTATTAGGCGTAAGTCTAGCAACTCCAGTCTCTAAGCTTACTCGCAACAATTACGGATTTAAATTTACACAGGGGGGGGGGGGGGGGGGGGCGTAGGAGGTTGAATGTGGCGAAACTATGCACACATGTCAACTTGTATCATTTTCGGAAGGCCGATTCTAGTCGGAATAAGATGCGCATGCGATACGCATGGGCAATGGAGAGAAACTACGACTTGCCTTAGCGGCGATGTTTTCGATGGTACTGCGCATGCGTGTGTTTACAACCGCAGAACCCTAATACCAACCCTAATCCTATCCTTAACCCTATCCCTAATCCTATCCCTAACCCTAGCCCTAATCCTAACCCTAGCCCTAATCCTATCCCTAGCCCTAATCCTATCCCTAACCCTATCCCTAATCCTACCCCTAACCCTCATTCTAGCCCTAACCCTAGCCATAGGTCACTGCGCATGCGCAGAACTATCTTTTGCCGAAAAATCTTATTCCGAGTAGACACTTCGTTTTCGGAAACGGTTTCACAAAAAGAAAACCTATCGAGGAACAACTATTTGATAATAGCGCCTCATTTTAAAGATTTATAGTTAACATGTATTAGCAAGAACATTGTTTTAGGTATTTGCGTTGTTAAGAGGACATCAAATTTGTTTCGATGGTAGTGTGGTGGTAGTAAATGTGGTATTGTGATGGTAGAAGGGTTGGTAGTGTTGATGTTAGTGTGAAGTAGTATCTGTGGTAGTGTGGTGGTAGTATGGATGGTAGTGTGGATGGTAGTGTGGTGGTATAGGGATGGTATTGTGATGGTAGAAGGGTTGGTAGTGTTGATGTTAGTGTGAAGTAGTATCTGTGGTAGTGTGGTAGTAGTATGGATGGTAGTGTGGATGGTAGTGTGGTGGTATAGGGATGGTATTGTGATGGTAGAAGGGTTGGTAGTGTTGATGTTAGTGTGAAGTAGTATCTGTGGTAGTGTGGTGGTAGTATGGATGGTAGTGTGGATGGTAGTGTGGTGGTATAGGGATGGTATTGTGATGGTAGAAGGGTTGGTAGTGTTGATGTTAGTGTGAAGTAGTATCTGTGGTAGTGTGGTGGTAGTATGGATGGTAGTGTGAATGGTAGTGTGGTGGTAGAAGGGCTGGTAGTGTGGTGGTATTAATGATGGTAGTGTATTGTAGTAGGATCGGTAGTGTGATGGTAGTGTGATGGTAGTATGATGGTAGTGTGGTGTTAGTGTGATGGTAGTAATGATGGTAGTGTGGCGGTTTTGGGTATGGTAGTGTGGTGGTGGTAGGGATGGTAGTGTGATGGTAGTAAGGATGGTAGTGTGGTGGTGGTAAGGATGGTAGTGTGATGGTAGTAAGGATGGTAATGTGGCGGTATTAAGGATGGTAGTGTGGCGGTATTAAGGATGGTAGTGTGGTGGTGTTAGGGATGGTAGTGTGATGGTAGTAAGGATAGTAGTGTGGTGGTAGTATGATGGTAGTATGGATGGTAGTGTGATGTAAGGATGGTAGTGTGATGTTAGTAAGGATGGTAGTGTGGCGGTTTTAAGGATGGTAGTGTGGTGGTGGTGGGGATGATAGTGTGATGGTAGTGTGATGGTAGTAAGGATGGTAGTGTGGTGGTAGTTTGATGGTTATTGTTGGGTGGTAGTGTGGTGGTAGTTTGATGGTTATTGTTGGGTGGTAGTGGTTGTAGTGTGGTGGTAGAAGGATGGTAATGTGGAGAATTTAGGATGGTGGTTTGAAGAAAGTGGGTTGTCTGTGTGGGTGTAGATGGAATTGTACTATATCATGGAATTAATGCTAAAAGCATGTGATTTTTTTATAGTTACTAGATAGTACATTGCTAAATTAAAAAACAACAACTTCTTTCTAGTGTATGCATTAAAAAAGCTTTTTATTAAAAACGCGTGAATGTGTAAAAAAAGCAAAATACTTTTAGTACTTTATATTAAAATTAATTACTTTTTAAAGAATCAAACATCGAATTACATGTCACATTACAGTATTAATTGGAGCCCAACTTAAATTTCAAGTTTGGAACAAATCAGCTTGGGTAAACCTTGTCAATAGGACATACTTTTAACATGTTATTAACCCAAAAAAAGAACTGAAATTCCCGATTCTTTGTGTCACAAATTTGTGCACACAAAGAGACCGTGACGAGACGACGCGCGAGTCGGATAAGAATTGTTTATGTCTTGGTGTATGTAAAGCGAACGACTCACTTTTGATATTAAAATGTCTTCTTCTAAGGTAAGGATTTCTTCACTTCACTCTAGCCTTACATTGGAGCTGATTAAGATAATTTTCTTAGAATGTATATCTCCTCCCACCTCCTTACGTTATGGATCAACGACCTGGCGTATTTAAAGCTACAGTCTAGACTAGTCTAGAGACTAGATCTAGAGTAGATGCCTATTTTAAAATCCTTATCTTGTTAGAATCGCTACCCTAGCCCTAACTAAAGGCTAAACCTAATTGCTGACTTCCATCAGAGGCGTAGTAGGGGGGGGGGGGGTCGGGGGGTGCGGACCGCACCGGGTGACACCATTTAGGGGGGTGACACCAAGGCAAAAAATAGCAAAATATATAGAGAAAAACTCAAGGGGGGATGCAAATCTAAAGTTTGAGGGGGGGGGGGTGCAAATCGAAAGTTTGGGGGGGGGGGGGTTGCAAATCGAAAGTTTGAGGGGGGGATGCAAATCGAAAATTTGAAAGTTTGTCCCCGGGAAGAGTCGCTATGCCCCTGGGGGGTGACACCATTAAGTGCCGCACCGGGTGACACCTGACCTCGCTACGCCACTGACTTACATGACTTAATTCCGTGAAGCCATGACATTGGCAGTAAAAAAAATCGTATAATACAATAGTATGGTACATTATCTTACCAGCGTTAAAATAAATTCCTGCCACAAGCTTTAGGGCAAGCAATGCTAGAGATAGAACCGAGAGGCTAATATACTTTGGGCCTTGTGGGAGTGGGGGGGGGGGGGGGAGATGGAATGGTAAAAACAAAATGGCGTCTTTTATAGAAGACCTCCACATGGCTATTGAAATAATATTTTTGTGCTGAAATAGGTTATAGAACATTATAGAAGATTATTGAAAATTATAGAAGTTTATATTTTACAGACGTACTTACGTGGTAGGGTTGTAGAGCGCTCGACTTCTAACCAGAAGGTCTCAGTTTCGGATCTTCACCTGATGGGTTGAGTCCATCCCACTCTGATGCGTACGTGACTCACGTTAATAGATTAAAAATGGCTGGGTGTTGACCACATTATTCCTTAATACGCTGTTTAGAAAAGAATTGAACTCTTCTTCATCTATCTTATGGATCTTTGGGTCTGAAGGACGAACTTTAACTTTTAATACGTCAAGTTTATTTGTAACAGATCCGATTGTTTTTGTCTTCTTACAGTCGGTGTTAAAGATCCCATCCCAGACCCCACTGGCGCTCTCCCCCACCCCCGCCCCCGCCCCACCCGCCATAGTACTGTCAGGGCTTGGGGAGAAGCAGATCCTGCTGGAGCTCTTTGATGCCATCAGCGAGGGCAAGACGGAAGTGGTCAAGGCCATCATGACCTACCTGGACAAACCGGAGGACTTACTCAAGCTCAAGGATCTAGTAAGTCGATTAGCCGTACCCAACTGCTGGTGTTCAAACTTAGTTCCTCTCTCTCCGTCGCTCTTCCCCTACTAATACCAAACTAGCCATAACCTTGTCCGCAACTAATGATACTGGCCAATGACATCAACGTAAACAAATTTCAACGTTAATTAAATTTAAAAAAAAAACAACAATAAAATCGTTTAGAAAATGAATAAAAAATACATTAAAATAATTATACTCTTATTTGTAATTTTACGCGTGCGTTTGGCTTGTGTAAGCACGTGCATATGTGTGCGTGTATCAGTGCGCGTCTGGTGTGTTTTAACGCTGATGTCAGCAGTTCTCTCCTGTGTGTATCCAGCAAGGATTAACTCCCTTGAGGAAAGCCGTCGCACTTAACAAGCCTGAGATCGCCAGGATCCTCGTCTCGTATGGAGCTGAACCCAGTGTCGTGGACCCTGTGAGTTGCTATCTATGATATCATTTCACTACACATCCACACACTTCATTGATTCATCAATACAACCAGTGTTGTGGACCCTGTGAGTTGCTGTCTACGATATCATTTCACTACACATCCACACACTTCATTGATTCATCAATACAACCAGTGTTGTGGACCCTGTGAGTTGCTTTCTACGATATCATTTCACTACACCTTCACACACTTCATTGATTCATCAATACAACCAGTGTCGTGGACCCTGTGAGTTGCTGTCTATGATATCATTTCACTACACTTTCACACACGTCATTGATTCATCAATACAACCAGTGTTGTGGACCCTGTGAGTTGCTGTCTGTGATATTTCAATACACTTTCACACACGTCATTGATTCATCAATACAACCAGTGTCGTGGACCCTGTGAGTTGCTGTCTATGATATCATTTCACTACACTTTCACACACGTCATTGATTCATCAATACAACAATACATTAGACATTATACTTTTTTGTAAAAATAGGATTTCTTAAAGACATTTGATCCGGGCGCTTGAACATGAATTATAACAATTTAAAAACATTTACTTTCTATTTAAAATGTAAAAAAACAACCATTGTATATTTCTATGATCTCTGAGAGGTAATAGAGTTCATCTGAAATTGCTTGTTTGTGTTAGATGTTTGCTTCTATACAGCGAGTTCACCTGAAATTGCTTGTTTGTGTTAGATGCTTGCTTCTATACAGCGAGTTCACCTGAAATTGCTTGTTTGTGTTAGATGCTTGCTTCTATACAGCGAGTTCACCTGAAATTGCTTGTTTGTGTTAGATGTTTGCTTCTATACAACGAGTTCACCTGAAATTGCTTGTTTGATCAGGCAGGTCGGACCCCCCTCCATATTGCTGTCATACAGGGCAGACGTGACCTCATTGCCCCACTGCTCGTATCAAAGGACAGTTCGGTCAACGTCCAGGACTCGGTGAGTACTTGGGGTTAGAGGATCTTTACACAGTCTTGTTGCTGGACTAGAGGATCTTGAGAGGATCTTGTTGCTAGGTTAGAGGATCTTGTTGTTAGACGAGGATCTTGTTGCTAGACTAGAGGATCTTGAGAAGATCTTGGTGCCAGAATAGATGATTTTGAGGGGATCTTGTTGTTAGGCTAGAGGATATCGAGGATATTGTTGCTAGGCTAGAGGATCTTAACAGGATCTTGTTGATAGGCTAGAGGATCTTGAGAGGATCTTGTTGCTAGACTAGAGGATCTTGTTGCTAGACTAGAGGATCTTGAGAGGATCTTGTTGCTAGACTAGAGGATCTTGAGAGGATCTTGTTGTTAGACTAGAGGATCTTGTTGTTAGACGAGGATCTTGTTGCTAGACTGGAGGATCTTGGTGCTAGCCTAGAAGATCTTGGTGCCAGAATAGATGATTTTAAGGGGATCTTGTTGTTAGGCTAGAGGATATCGAGGATATTGTTGCTAGGCTAGAAGATCTTAACAGGATCTTGTTGATAGGCTAGAGGATCTTGAGAGGATCTTGTTGCTAGACTAGAGGATCTTGTTGCTAGACTAGAGGATCTTGAGAGGATCTTGGTGCTAGCCTAGAAGATCTTGGTGCCAGAATAGATGATTTTAAGGGGATCTTGTTGTTAGGCTAGAGGATATCGAGGATATTGTTGCTAGGCTAGAAGATCTTGATGATAGTGTAGAGGATCTTAATTATATACTAGAAGATATTCCTGTGTCGGATTATGACTCAGTAGCGTACACAGGGGGGGAGCAGGGGGAGCGGCCGCTCCCCCTCTGGCCATTTTCAGCAAAGTGGCGCCTTTTTGGAAACTTTTTAAGCTAAGAGTTTTAAACAATGATATTTGTTAAAAAAATATTTTTGGTCGGCACATCTGTGTAAATCACAAGATTTCTTTTCATGCATCAATTAAGCATTATTATACTAGTCTAGTAGTGTCTACGTTTACAACACGTATTAACAGCTGCAGCAGTTTGCCATTCTAAAAATAACCATTATGATGCATTGCAATATTTAAAAAAATTCTACGGGTAGTACCACTTGGCAAGAGGATTGTTAAGTTTAAGACAACTGTATAATGTATTTGCTTACGAATAATTGAATTAGAAAATGTTCTACATAAAACTTCACACATAATTACTTTATATATACAATTTGAATCGTGTGATTAATTTTGAAAAAATTACAATACAGAACAAATACAACTGATGTGGCACCTCTATTTAAATTTACTTATGAGCAAACTGCGTAGTGGTGGGGAAATTTTGACAAAGTCAATAACGTCATCACGATGAAGTAGTAGTATTCTTACAGTTTGGGCGATAGTGATTACGATTACAAATTATATGAAACAGTTACAACCCCCCTCCCCCACGGACCCCTCTGTAAAAAAATATTGTCATAATACCACTGCTACTTATTTAAATCTATTTCAAACACACACACACCTCACCTCCACAATTGTGTAGAGCGACATTAATGTCACACCTAGGTATACACTGGGTTAGATAATTGACCTAAAGTGACCGGACAGTGGTGAATGAAGTTGAACCCACTCCCCACCAACGTACCATGCCGCCAGAAAATTAGCTTTTTAAACGTAAAACTCTGTGAATATTGTTTTTGCAATTACCAGTAAAAAGGTGTGTGATCTAACCCATACCTATCACTTTGTTAAAAAATTATCTTTAAAGAACACAAAGAAGCAGTAGTTAATTAAAAATATGTGATCTGAACTAAAAGACCGGCAGTAAGTTAAATTTAGGCCGTCATTCCGAATGTTCTTCTACTGTAGCGAAAAGCGTGGTTTTATACCAGCTCTGATTTAAAAAACTTTCATTATGCTGTAATACTTTAGCATTTATGATGACGATATATTAAATTCTGATTATAGACAAAAACATTTTGTAAACACGAATAGAGTTAAACAATTTCATTATATTCTAAAGTAATTATTTATTTGTTTTGACATTTATAATTAAATGTGTAGATATGTACATATTTATATTAAGAGAGTGATTATTTCCCCTATTTCACTTGTCTTAAATAATTTCCCAGGAATTATTATGTAAGAATTTTTTTTACAAGAATTACAAAACAGATTGTGTTACGATCATTGTTTTTGGTTGTAGTATGTGTATATTGTTGTTTAGACTGATACAATTTTTGTTTTGTCGGCCTACATTGTGTGTTTTTTTTCTTATTTCTTCAGAGTGCTACTTTCAATTTTTTTTTACATCATAGCTAGTAATTATATATATATATATATATATATATATATATATATATATATATATATATATATATATATATATATATATATATATATATATATATACACGTATATAGAACGTGTTAAAAATTCGGCGCCTTTTTTTGCTCTTTTCGCTCCCCCTACAACGAAAACCTGGATACGCCTCTGTTATGACTGCTTACTATAATAATTAGTGTGTTATGTTATTAGTATTATGCTATGGTTGAGCTCAGTTATGATTCGGGTAGAAATTAGAAAACGATGCATGTTTGCTACCAGTAGCTTAAATCTCCCCTTTAAAAAAATAAAAATAATTCTGGCATTGTGTCTTCATTGGCGCTAGCATGGAACATGCACTCATTGGAATCGTATGCCAATTACAAACAAGAACAAATAAGCAAACCTTGTATTTTGTAAGTTCTACTCAAACATGTATTTGTTATTTTTAACCCTGACCTTGAACTCCCCAGCACGGCTGGACACCGCTTCACTTTGCTGTCCGGGGGAAGCATGTCAAGGTCGTCAACTGGCTGCTCTACGCTGGGGCGGATGTTCATCTCAAGAACAAGGTCAGAGTTCACCTTGTAGTCTAGGTTAAGAGGTCAGAGTTCAACTCGTGTTTGAAAAGGTCAGAGATCAACTCGTGCTCTAGTCTTAAAAGGTCAGAGATCAACTCGTGTTTCAGGTGCACAAAGTTTATTTCATCTCAAGTATTTTAGCCCTAAAATATTTTGCTCGAGTTTTGTTTTGCCTGAAATATTTTGTCTCGGGTATCTTAAGTATCAGATTGTATCACTTGTATGGAGAATTAGACCACAGTACCACTTGTATTAAGCCATAACCCACAGTACCACTTGTTGACAGGACGACAAAACGCCCCTGGATCTATGTGACGACGACAGTCCAATCCGACAGATGCTGGAGGCTTATGATCACGCTCTGGACGACGGACCGTGAGTACCACAAGCATGTCACCTTACAGGTGTTTGTTGTTTTTTTTGTTTTTTTTGTGCAGACACATTGTCATACGCCATCACACCAATCCCACCCCATTCCACGACAACAACCCCTTCAGACCTAAACCTTTCCCTAACATAAATTTAATTATATTAATATTTAACATGGGACGGAGTGGTCTAGCGGTAGAGAGCTGGACTGCTAACCCGTAAGTCTCGAGTTCGAATCCGGGTTCAAGTCAGTAGACCGACCCTGAGTCACAGAAACAAGTTTATTCTAGTTCACTTGCCCCATTGACCGTCAGGTTTGAAAAGGGAACTTTACTTACTTAATATTTAACGCGTTTCTCGTAATTTTTATATCTTTCAACGATTAAAAAGTAAACAACCCATCATTCCTTACATACCCCCCCCCCAAACGCCCCCTCTGTATTACGCCATAATACCCCCTTCTTACACATCAAGAAGTACCTAACTAGTTTAAACTTTCCCCCACAGTATCGACTTGTGTAGTTCGTTTATCGGCCGCAAACAGTTGAATCAGATCGGCCCAGACGGCCTGCTGCTCTTTGTTACCTCGGCACTCTGGTCAGAGAGGATGCAGTTTATATTCAGTATTCGAATACGTCCGTACCGAGCCGATCCCCCGATACCACTGCAGCAGGATGAGCAATACTTCAGTGACGTCTGGCACTACAGGTATGGCTTCTATAGCTACAGGTATGGCTTCTATAGCTACAGGTGGTGGCTTCTGTAGCTGCAGGTATGGCTTCTATAGCTACAGGTATGGCTTCTATAGCTACAGGTATGGCTTCTATAGCTACAGGTATGGCTTCTATAGCTACAGGTATGGCTTCTGTAGCTGCAGGTATGGCTTCTGTAGCTACAGGTATGGTTTCTATAGCTGCAGGTATGGCTTCTATAGCTGCAGGTATGGCTTCTATAGCTGCAGGTATGGCTTCTATAGCTGCAGGTATGGCTTCTATAGCTGCAGGTATGGCTTCTATAGCTACAGATATGGCTTCTGTACCTGCAGGTAAGGCTTATATAGCTGCAGGTATGGCTTCTATAGCTGCTGGTATGGCTTTTATAGCTACAGTTATGGCTTCTGTAGCCCAACACCTTTTATAGTGTCTCATGAGCGGCTACCTTTGGCACCTTAACCGAGCCGTTTGGTTCATCCCACAGCGCCAGTTCTGCTTACCAAAAGTGGCCCACTTGGCACACGCATTCGACATGGGCCCGCCTCCAATCGAGCGAGGCGGACTTCCTACCCATTTATAAATATATCATTTCCATTAATCCCCATCAATAAGTTTTATTATCAATAATTACTAATACAGATATGGCATCTGTAATTAACTCGTTTGCTAAAAAAAATACATTTGTAACTAAATTAAAATCTCTACTAGGACCGACAACCAAGCTTGAATTATAAACGTAGAGAAAATACGTTATAACCTCCCCTGTCCAATTTAGTTTTCCTTCAGTATTATTTGAAGTTTACGCACCTTCATGCTTCAGAAGTTAGTTACAGTGTGAAATATCCCTGGGTTTACACTCATCCATCATGTATTATCCAGCACTATGGACTAATACGATTCTTTATCCGTCAAAAACGTTCATGATGAAAAGAAAGCTAATAGACCAAACGAGCTGATTCAATTTTGTAAATGAAGTCCGTGTTTTCCTGTGCGGAACAAAGAAAATAAGCTGATTAAATAATATTAATGGTTTCCGCGTTTCATGTAAAAAAAAAAGAAGTAGAGTTCATGTTTCTGTGACTTCGGCATATGAAGGGAAGGTGTGGTCAGCACTTTGCCCAGCCTTTACTTTCCCTACCGTATGAATGCTGTCAGATACGTTGATAAAATGAATGGTGTCCGTGTTTAATGACCTGATACGTTGATAAAATTAATTATGTCCGTGTTTAATGACCTGATACGTTGATAAAATGAATGGTGTCCGTGTTTAATGACCTGATACGTTGATAAAATTAATTATGTCCGTGTTTTCCCGTGCTAACAGAATGATGCGCAGGCTCCACCCCCGGGAGACTCGGGTCAAGGCCTACTTCCGGCTGTTTGAAGAGTTGACCACTCACGAAGTCGTCCTGAAGATCACATCCAAGGCTAAATATATAGGAGAGGTACCGGTACGGCTCAGCAAGTACAAGCAATTTGTAAGTATAGGGGGATAAGTACAAGCAATGTGTAAGTATAAGAGGATAAGTATAAGCAATTTGTAAGTATAGGAGGATAAGTACAAGCAATTTGTAAGTATAGGGGGATAAGTACAAGCAATTTGTAAGTATAGGGGGATAAGTACAAGCAATTTGTAAGTATAGGGGGATAAGTACATAAATTTGTAAGTATAGGGGGATAAGTACAAGCACCTTTGTAAGTATAGGAGGATAACTACAAGCAATTTGTAAGTATAGGGGGATAAGTACAAGCAATTTGTAAGTATAGGGGGATAAGTACAAGCAATTTGTAAGTATAGGGGGATAAGTACAAGCAATTTGTAAGTATAGGGGGATAAGTACATAAATTTGTAAGTATAGGGGGATAAGTACAAGCAATTTGTAAGTATAGGGGGATAAGTACATAAATTTGTAAGTATAGGGGGATAAGTACAAGCACCTTTGTAAGTATAGGAGGATAGCTACAAGCAATTTGTAAGTATAGGAGGATAAATACATTATATTTGTAATTTAATGCAAGTATATGATGATAGGCAACACGTAGAAACAAGGACGCTATATCTTTGATCCTTGGCACTCGTAAAAGGCACAGTAAATTTTTTTTTACTTCAACAAACATGAATCAGTAGCGGTTTGCTGTAATTAAATTGTCAACAAATGCAACTCTCATAAAGGTCAAGATCAGCAGATATTTTTTTATTCTCCTATCAGAACTACACCAGCTACCTGGTGTTCACGGAGATTGACCTCAAGGACGAAGGTCAGTTTGTGATGATCAAGCGCCCCAAGTCCTACATGCTCATCAAAGGCTTTGACGGCGTCTATTCGTGTCGCGCCCATCCCATGTTTAAAATCAACATCCCGGAAGTAAGTGAAGTCGTTGGTTATTGCTGATAATTTAGTCGGTGCCGCCATTAGGTGGGGTGACACTCCCCCGCACCCCACCCAATGACGCCATTGTATTTTGAAAATCAGTACCGATTCGTGAAACGCTTTAGGGTTAACCATTTTAGCTGTTTATACATGATAGAGTATGCTTTTAAGGAATTTCAAATTCGTTTAGCTTTTGCTTTTAAATCTGGTGTAGGTGTAAGTAAAGATGGAGATGCAGGCACTTAATCTGATGTATCAGAAGAATAGCGTGTTTATAATTATGATAATTAAGTGTCTTTTATGTATGACTACACACCTGTTCATAATGTAATCACCACAACTTCACACATGTTCATATTGTACTCACTATGACTCCACACCTGTTCATATTTTACTCAGATTTTCATCTAGTGTTCAAATATCCACTCACCATAAGTCTACAAGGTATTTAATTAACCTGACAATTTATTTTAAGCTTTTGAATATAACCTGGTGCTCCATGCTAACCTTTTTCCTCTAGGGGTCATATCCCAACCCCCCAGCTGATTGGGACGCGACCCGGGCTGAGAGAGAGAAGGCGGTGGTGGATGAATTAATGAAGAAATACATGAAAGAACCTGAGGGTCAGTGTTGACTTGGTCCAGGATTGTTTCCCATTTTGTTTTTGTTGTTTGTTTGGTAATGTAGTTAATGTAAGCTTACAGTACTAATACATTCATACCACAGTGTGTGGGGCAGTCTAAGAAACACATTCATTCCTACACTGTGCATGTGTGGTTAACCAACCAGTGTTTCTTCCAGACGTTTTTATCCGGGGGGGGGGGGGCACTTGAAATTTTCGGGGGGGGGGGGGCGGTAGACTTTCTTCGGGGGGGTGGGGGGTGGCGGACACTGTTAAAAGTATATATTTTATATATAAATTATATAAATTTCATTTTGCCCCCCCCCCCCCCGAAGAGATGCCTGGAAGAAACTCTGTTTGTGTGTGTGTGGAGGGGGGAGGTTTACCAAATAATCCATCAACTATGCTACTAGATCTCTCTGTACACCAATCGTCTGCCACTGTTTGTGTGTATGTGTGAGGGGGGGAGGGAGAGATTAACCAACACATCCACCTACTATGCTACTAGCACTAGATCTCTCTGTACACCAATCGTCTGCCACTGTTTGTGTGTATGTGTGAGGGGGGGAGGGAGAGATTAACCAACACATCCACCTACTATGCTACTAGCACTAGATCTCTCTGTAAACCAACTGTCTGCCACTGTTTTTGTGAGGGGGGGGGGAGGGAGAGATTAACCACACATCCACCTACTATGCTACTAGCACTAGATCTCTCTGTAAACCTCTGTTTGACCCCAGACGACAAGGAAGAAAACAAGGTGCTATCCTGGAATGACAAAAGTGCCAACGCGGACGTCCCAGAGCACGACGCGAGCAATGACGAGAACCCAGGGACAGGTAAGTCAGGGGTAAGTGGGAGGTCACAGGTAAGTCAGGGAAACATTGGGAGGTCACAGGTAAGTCAGGGGAACATTGGGAGGTCACAGGTAAGTCAGGGGACAAGTAGGAGATCACAGGTAAGTCAGGGGACAAGTGGGACGTCACAGGTAAGTCAGGGGACAAGTGGGAGGTCACAGGTAAGTCAGGGGACCAGTGGGAGGTCACAGGTAAGTCAGGGGTAAGTGGGAAATCACAGGTAAGTCAGGGGACAAGTGGGAGGTCACAGGTAAGTCAGGGGACCAGTGGGAGGTCACAGGTAAGTCAGGGGATAAGTGGGAGGTCACAGGTAAGTCAGGGGACATTGGGAGGTCAAAGGTAAGTCAGGGGACAAGTGGGAGGTCACAGGTAAGTCAGGGGACTAGTGGGGCGTCACAGGTAAGTCAGGGGTAAGTGGGACGTCACAGGTAAGTCAGGGGACAAGTGGGAGGTCACAGGTAAGTCAGGGAACAAGTGGGAGGTCACAGGTAAGTCAGGGGACAAGTGGGAGGTCACAGGTAAGTCAGGGGACCAGTGGGACGTCACAGGTAAGTCAGGGGTAAGTGGGTGGACACGGGTAAGTCAGGGGACAAGTGGGAGGTCACAGGTAAGTCATGGGACCAGTGGGACGTCACAGGTAAGTCATGGGACCAGTGGGACGTCACAGGTAAGTCAGGGGAACATTGGGAGAACAAAGGTAAGTCAGGGGTAAGTGGGAGATCACAGGTAAGTCACGGAGAAAGTGGGCAGTCACAGGTAAGTCAGGGGACAAGTGGGTGGATACAGGTAAATCAGGGGTAAGTGAGAGGTCACAGGTAAGTCAGGGGACAAGTGGGACGTCACAGGTAAGTCACGAAGCAAGTGCTGGGTACTTGTGTAGTGACTGACGTTTGTCATCGTTTACTAACTAGTATGGTGATTGATGTTTATCATTTTTTTACTAACGTGTGAATGACGTCTATAATCGTTTACTAACTTGTATGATGAATGACGTATGTTATCGTTTGCTCCAGAGGAAGGCACCAAGGACGGGGACGGGGAGAAGGAACAGGGAGAGGCCGGCGAGAACGAAGAAGAGGTTCCAGAGGAGGACTGGCCCGGGGGTATCAGGCCTGGCACTATGCTGGAGGGGGACGAACCGGATGAGTGCACGGACTTTTATTACATCAGCCGTGGCTGGGGACTGCACTTAAGGGTGAGTAGTATCAATAGTGGCTGGGGACTGCACTTAAGGGTGAGTAGTATCAATAGTGGCTGGGGACTGCACTTAAGGGTGAGTAGTATCAATAGTGGCTGGGGACTGCACTTAAGGGTGAGTAGTATCAATAGTGGCTGGGGACTGCACTTAAGGGTGAGTAGTATCAATAGTGGCTGGGGACTGCACTTAAGGGTGAGTAGTATCAATAGTGGCTGGGGACTGCACTTAAGGGTGAGTAGTATCAATAGTGGCTGGGGACTGCACTTAAGGGTGAGTAGTATCAATAGTGGCTGGGGACTGCACTTAAGGGTGAGTAGCATCAATGGTGGCTGGGGGGAGACTGCACTTAAGGGTGAGTAGCTTCAGCCGTGGCTGGGGACTGCACTTAAGGGTGAGTAGCATTAGCCGTGGCTGGGGACTGCACTTAAGGGTGAGTAGCATCAATAGTGGCTGGGGGGGAGTGGTAATGCACTGAAGGGGAAGCTTCACCAATAGAGGTTGGGAGTAAAGGGGGTTCTGTACTTAAAGTTAAGACAGGTTGTGGGTGGGAGGGGGGGTGAACAGTATCCAATATAGCCCCAGTAAATTACATGCTAACAGGATGTATCTGTCGTCACATGACTAACACAGTTTCAACCACTACAGAATAATTTTACATAACATGTAGTCCGTCATACAGTACAGATGACTAATAGATATTTGCAGTATACTTTAGTAAATGAGTAGCTATTATGTTAACAAAAATAGATCAAATCTCTCACTTGGAACTATAAGAGGGTCGAGTAATACAACATCCCCCATCCCCACCCCGTGTACCCCCACAGACGATCCCTGCCTACCCCCTCCCCGCGCTGATTGACAAGACCAGCTATGAGAAGAACATCATCCGCTGCACCACCATGTTCTACAGTTTCAGCCACACCTCCGGTCTGAACCCAACCCAACCCTTCACCGTGCAGATCCCCAAAACCAGCGCCTTCCACAAGGTGGGGACTGTCCTCGTTTTCTACAGGTGAGTTTCCGGTCATGTGATCGGTCACGTGATGTTGGAGGTCTGGGGTCACGTGATATTGGAGGTCTGAGGTCACGTGATGTTGGAGGTCTGGGGTCACGTCATTTTGGAGGTCTGGGGTCACGTGATGTTGGAGGTCAGGGGTCACGTGATGTTGGAGGTCTGGGTTCACGTGATGTTGGAGGTCTGGGGTCACGTGATGTTGGAGGTCTGGGGTCACGTCATGTGGAGGTCAGGGGTCACGTGATGTTGGAGGTCTGGGGTCACGTGATGTTGGAGGTCTGGGGTCACGTGATGTTGGAGGTCTGGGGTCACGTCATGTTGGAGGTCTGGGGTCACGTCATGTTGGAGGTCTGGTGTCACGTGATGTTGGAGGTCTGGGGTCACGTGATGTTGGAGGTCTGGGGTCACGTCATGTTGGAGGTCTGGGGTCACGTCATGTTGGAGGTCTGGTGTCACGTACATAGTTACAACATGATGTTGGGGTTGATGGCCTTTCTCTTCGAAGCACATCTACCCCCCTCTCGAACAAAATAGAGTTTATATAGATAATATACTTTCATCAGCCTCCCCCCTCCCCCCTCAAGTAATGCGCTGGTTAGAGAATCCGCGCTTAGAATTAAGAATGGAGAGGTGAACACTCTTCAAATTTCCACCATGGCAGATGAAGTAGAGTTCATCTGTTTCTCTGTCCTTATGATATGAAGTGATGCTGATAACGTGCATACTACTAAGCCATGCTAAGCGTTCTTTACTTTTTGAATTGCGATTCCCGTCGAGGTTGGTAACTCAGTGTTCTATCGCTCGACCAAGACGCTTCCTTATATATAGAAAGAGAACCGGATCTATAGCCTATAACAGCAGTTAAAAACTTAAATCTAAGTTCCATCCTTCTAGGGCTGAGCTCGGTCAGGGCGAGATGGAGTCGCCAGACCCAGATGATCTACCAGAGGAACATTTTCTTTCTCAGGACGGCAAGAACACGTGGTAGGTCTAGTTTTATTGGATGGTCTAGTTTTGTTGGATGGTCTAGTTTTGTTGGATGGGCTAGTTTTGTTGGAGGGTCTAGTTTTGTTGGATGGGCTAGTTTTTTTGGATGGGCTAGTTTTGTTGGATGGTCTAGTTTTGTTGGATAAGCTAGTTTTGTTGGGTGGTCTAGTTTTGTTGGATGGGCTAGTATTTTTGGATGGGCTAGTTTTGTTGGATGGGCTAGTTTTGTTGGATGGTCTAGTTTTGTTGGATGGGCTAGTTTTGTTGGATGGGCTAGTTTTGTAGATGGGCTAGTTTTGTTGGATGGACTAGTTTTGTTGGATGGGCTAGTTTTGTTGGTGGGTGGTCTAGTTTTGTTGGTAGATGGTCTAGTTTTATTGGTAGATGGTCTAATTGTGTTGGTGGATGGTCTAGTTTTGTTGGTAGATGGTCTAATTGTGTTGGTGGATGGTCTAGTTTTGTTGGTGGATGGTCTAGTTTTGTTGGTGGATGGTCTAGTTTTATTGGTAGATGGTCTAATTGTGTTGGTGGATGGTCTAGTTTTGTTGGTGGATGGTCTAGTTTTGTTGGTGGATGGTCTAGTTTTGTTGGTGGATGGTCTAGTTTTGTTGGTGGATGGTCTAGCTTTGTTGATGGATGGTCTAGTTTTGTTCGTGGATGGTCTAGTTTTGTTGGTGGATGGTTTAGTTTTGTTGGTGGATGGTTTAGTTTTGTTGGCCTAATTTGTTGTGGGTTTAGTTTTGCTAGTAGATCTAGTTTTGTTAGTAGGTCTAGTTTTGTTAGCAGGTCAAGTTTTGTAAGTAGATCTAATAAAGCGTTTATTTCAAGTGGTGAGTGGTGTACTTTTGTTATATTGGAAGGTAGGGGTCGGTGTGGTCGGGTTGGTAAAGTACAAAGAAGAGTTTGGAAAGTAGTGAAAGCATATAGTAAAAAGTTATAGAATCTAATTAGTTCTTGTTAAAAGTGCAATTAAGATTTCGCATGCAGTTGCTTCCCCTACATTTTCTTTATTTAACAGTGTGAGCCGCCACAAGCTCGGATCATGGGAGCCACATTTGGCTCCTGTTTGCCATCTGCGATGTGGCTCCTTTCAAGCTAATTAAATCACATCATTTAGTTTTAAGACCTGCCGTTTACATTTCAAATTCGTATCACTTGACTAAACTGCTTTTAACTACTGTACATGGTGATTGCTTCTATGCTTTGGCAACCAGGAGGCTAAACACTGAGTTTGGTACATTTTAAATAGGGCTTGTAAGTAGGCCACCATCGTCTCGTTTTCGTACTTGCCAGCAAAACGTTTCTAATCAAATGTGAATATTTGTCATAAAATCAGTAAAAAAAAATTATAGCGGCTATATAAGGCTCAATAAAACCTGCATGAACCATAGAGCTGGTTCGTGACCTACTTACCAGCCCTATTGTTAAATACTAGACTTAAGCTTTATTGCTTATCACTCATAAACCACGTGATTCTCCTCCCAGGGGAATCTTCTGGATCAACAAGGAACGTGACAGGTGGAGGCTACTGCCTTCTGGGATAGTCAACAAGGAGAAGAGGGTTGTCTTCCAAACCAAGTTGGCAACCTCGTAAGTGTGTAGACGGCAACCCATTCTATGGTAGACAATGTTGGTCCAACTTTTCCTTTACCCAAGGTTTATCGTGATCCAACTTTTCCTTTACCTAAGGTTTATCGTGGTCCAACTTTTCCTTTACCCAAGGTTTATCGTGATCCAACTTTTCCTTTACACAAGGTTTATCGTGGTCCAACTTTACCCAAGGTTTATCGTGATCCAACTTTTCTTTTACTCAAGGTTTATCGTGATCCAAATTTTCCTTTACGCAAGGTTTATCGTGATCCAACTTTATTTTACCCAAGGTTTATCGTGATCCAACTTTTCCTTTACCCAAGGTTTATCGTGGTCCAACTTGTCCTTTACCCAAAGTTTATCGTGATCCAACTTTTCCTTTACCCAAGGTTTATCGTGATCCACCTTTTCTTTTACACAAGGTTTATCGTGATCAAACTTTTCCTTTACCCAAGGTTTATCGTGGTCCAACTTTACCCAAGGTTCATCGTGGTCCAACTTTTCCTTTACCCAAGGTTTATGGTGATCCAACTTTTCCTTTACCCAAAGTTTATCATGATCCTACTTTTCCTTTACCCAAGGTTTATCGTGATCAAACTTTTCCTTTACCCAAGGTTTATCGTGATCCAACTTTTCCTTTACCCAAGGTTTATCGTGATCCAACTTTTCCTTTACGCAAGGTTTATCGTGATCCAACTTTTCCTTTACACAAGGTTTATCGTGATCCAACTTTTCCTTTACCCAAGGTTCATCATGGTTCAACTTTTCCTTTACCTAAAGTTTATCGTGATCCAACTTTTCCTTTACCCAAGGTTTATCGTGGTCCAACTTTTCCTTTACCTATGGTTTATCGTGATCCAACTTTTCCTTTACCCAAGGTTTATCGTGGTCCAACTTTTCCTTTACCCAAGGTTTATCATGATCCAAATTTTCCTTTACCTAAAGTTTATCGTGATCCAACTTTTCCTTTACCCAAGGTTTATCACGGTCCAACTTTTCCTTTACCCAAGTTTTATCGTGGTCCAACTTTTCCTTTACCCAAGGTTTATCGTGGTTCAACTTTTCCTTTACCCAAGGTTTATCGTGGTCCAACTTTACCTAAGGTTTATCGTTATCCAACTTTTCCTTTACCCAAGGTTTATCGTGATCCAACTTTTCCTTTACCCAAGGTTTATCGTTATCCAACTTTTCCTTTACCCAAGGTTTATCGTGGTCCAACTTTTCCTTTACCCAAGGTTTATCGTGATCCAACTTTTCCTTTACCCAAGGTTTATCGTTATCCAACTTTTCCTTTACCCAAGGTTTATCGTGATCCAACTTTTCCTTTACCCAAGGTTTATCGTTATCCAACTTTTCCTTTACCCAAGGTTTATCGTGATCCAACTTTTCCTTTACCCAAGGTTTATCGTGATCCAACTTTTCCTTTACCCAAGGTTTATCGTGGTCCAACTTTTTCTTTACCCAAGGTTTATCGTGGTCCAACTTTTCCTTTACCCAAGGTTTATCGTGGTCCAACTTTTCCTTTACCCAAGGTTTATCGTGGTCCAACTTTTCCTTTACCCAAGGTTTATCGTGGTCCAACTTTTCCTTTACCCAAGGTTTATCGTGGTCCAACTTTTCCTTTACCCAAGGTTTATCGTTATCCAACTTTTCCTTTACCCAAGGTTTATCGTTATCCAACTTTTCCTTTACCCAAGGTTTATCGTGGTCCAACTTTTCCTTTACCCAAGGTTTATCGTGGTCCAACTTTTCCTTTACCCAAGGTTTATCGTGATCCAACTTTTCCTTTACCCAAGGTTTATCGTTGTCCAACTTTTCCTTTACCCAAGGTTTATCGTTATCCAACTTTTCCTTTACCCAAGGTTTATCGTTATCCAACTTTTCCTTTACCCAAGGTTTATCGTTATCCAACTTTTCCTTTACCCAAGGTTTATCATGATCCAAATTTTCCTTTACCTAAAGTTTATCGTGATCCAACTTTTCCTTTACCAAAGGTTTATCGTGGTCCAACTTTTCCTTTACCCAAGGTTTATCGTTATCCAACTTTTCCTTTACCCAAGGTTTATCTTTATCCAACTTTTCCTTTACCAAAGGTTTATCGTTATCCAACTTTTCCTTTACCCAAGGTTTATCGTGGTCCAACTTTTTCTTTAGCCAAGGTTTATCGTGATCCAACATTTCCTTTACCCAAGTTTTATCGTGATCCAACTTTTCCTTTACCCAAGGTTTATCGTGGTCCAACTTTTTCTTTACCCAAGGTTTATCGTGGTCCAACTTTTCCTTTACCCAAGGTTTATCGTGGTCCAACTTTTCCTTTACCCAAGGTTTATCGTGGTCCAACTTTTCCTTTACCCAAGGTTTATCGTGGTCCAACTTTTCCTTTACCCAAGGTTTATCGTGGTCCAACTTTTCCTTTACCCAAGGTTTATCGTTATCCAACTTTTCCTTTACCCAAGGTTTATCGTTATCCAACTTTTCCTTTACCCAAGGTTTATCGTGGTCCAACTTTTCCTTTACGCAAGGTTTATCGTGATCCAACTTTTCCTTTACACAAGGTTTATCGTGATCCAACTTTTCCTTTACCCAAGGTTTATCATGGTTCAACTTTTCCTTTACCTAAAGTTTATCGTGATCCAACTTTTCCTTTACCCAAGGTTTATCGTGGTCCAACTTTTCCTTTACCTATGGTTTATCGTGATCCAACTTTTCCTTTACCCAAGGTTTATCGTGGTCCAACTTTTCCTTTACCCAAGGTTTATCATGATCCAAATTTTCCTTTACCTAAAGTTTATCGTGATCCAACTTTTCCTTTACCCAAGGTTTATCACGGTCCAACTTTTCCTTTACCCAAGTTTTATCGTGGTCCAACTTTTCCTTTACCCAAGGTTTATCGTGGTCCAACTTTTCCTTTACCCAAGGTTTATCGTGATCCAACTTTTCCTTTACCCAAGGTTTATCGTTGTCCAACTTTTCCTTTACCCAAGGTTTATCGTTATCCAACTTTTCCTTTACCCAAGGTTTATCGTTATCCAACTTTTCCTTTACCCAAGGTTTATCGTTATCCAACTTTTCCTTTACCCAAGGTTTATCATGATCCAAATTTTCCTTTACCTAAAGTTTATCGTGATCCAACTTTTCCTTTACCAAAGGTTTATCGTGGTCCAACTTTTCCTTTACCCAAGGTTTATCGTTATCCAACTTTTCCTTTACCCAAGGTTTATCTTTATCCAACTTTTCCTTTACCAAAGGTTTATCGTTATCCAACTTTTCCTTTACCCAAGGTTTATCGTGGTCCAACTTTTTCTTTAGCCAAGGTTTATCGTGATCCAACATTTCCTTTACCCAAGTTTTATCGTGATCCAACTTTTCCTTTACCCAAGGTTTATCGTGATCCAACTTTTCCTTTACCTAAGGTTTATCGTGATCCAACTTTTTCTTTACCCAAGGTTTATCGTTGTCCAACTTTTCCTTTACCCAAGGTTTATCACGGTCCAACTTTTCCTTTACCCAAGGTTTATCACGGTCCAGTTGACCCAGGGTTCCGAGAAATGGGAGCGGGAAGAGCCAGAGTCCAGCAGCTCTGATGAGGAGGAGACGGTGGTTGAAGGAGAGGGCGGGGAGGAGCCCGGGGAGAGGTCACCCGAGGCAGAGAAAGAAGAGAAACCCCCCTCAGCCCCCGAGGAGAAACCTCAAAAGAAAAAGAAGAAAGCGATTTACATCGCGCTAGACACCGATAAGGAGGACGATTTCTCAAGCGCCTCCGAATCTGAGGAGGAAGCGGCCCCGGGGTAGGTTTTTTTCTGTGTCACGTTTGGTTTGAGGATGGGTTGTGTTAGCGTTGTACGTTTGGTTTGACGATTGGGTTGTGTTAGCGTTGTACGTTTGGTTTGAGGAGGGGGTTGTGTTAGCGTTGTACGTTTGGTTTGAAGATGGGGTGGTGTTAGCGTTGCATGTTTAGTTTGAAAATGGGGTTGTGTTAGCGTTGTACGTTTGGTTTGAGGAGGGGGTTGTGTTAGCGTTGTACGTTTGGTTTGAAGATGGGGTGGTGTTAGCGTTGCATGTTTAGTTTGAAAATGGGGTTGTGTTAGCGTTGTACGTTTGGTTTGAAGATGGGGTTGTATTAGCGTTGTACGTTAGGTTTTAAATAAGGTCAAAAGAAAATGCCTGCTACGACTCATCAATCTGGAACCCACCTGCTTGACGCAGGTTATCTTAAGGGTTTCATCAAAACATTACCAATCGTGTATTTTTGTGTGACCATCTCTACTTCAGCTCGGTACCTGAGATTGTTGGCCCTGAGGCAGGAGAACAGGAGCAGACGTCAGCAGAAGGCGGGGAGGCAGCGACCACGGAGGAAGGGGAGGCGGAGGGGGAGACGGCCAACGCGGAGTCTCTGCTTGCGGCTAGTCCGAAAGTAGGTCAAACGTCATGCGCAGACTACGAAGTTATCTGCTGGTCAAACACAGGTCTAATCATCTGTTTGATGATTTTGGGTGATAAACTCCTAGCCTGGCCGTCTTTAGTTTACATTAGTCCAGACAGGACCCCAGACAGGACCCCAGACAGGACCCCAGACATGACCCCAGACAGGACCCCAGACAGGACCCCAGACATGACCCCAGACAGGACCCCAGACAGGACCCCAGACAGGACCCCAGACATGACCCCAGACAGGACCCCAGACAGGACCCCAGGCATGACCCCAGACATGACCCCAGACAGGACCCCAGACAGGACCCCAGACATGACCCCAGACAGGACCCCAGATAGGACCCCAGACATGACCCCAGACATGACCCCAGACAGGACCCCAGACAGGACCCCACCAGAGCTGGGCAGACGAAGGCGTGTGTCAAGGTCTCAAGCCCGCAAATCCAGCAGGGGATCCTCGGGTTAAAATCAAGTGCCCTATAATTCGACCACACCGTCCAATACTGAACTTTTTTGATAGGCATAGAATTCAAATTCATTGTTTGCACCCCCCAGCTCAAACTTTCGATTTGCACCCACCCCCTCAAACTTTCGATTTGCACCCCCCCCCCCTCAAACTTTCGATTTGCACCTCTTAAAACACTATCTAACACTCTAATTAATCACTTAATTAAGTGGAATTATCATTTTTATCTATATATTTTGCTATATTTTGCCTTGGTGTCACCCCCCTAAATGGTGTCACCAGGTGCAGTCCGCACCCCCCCCCCCTCGCTACGCCTCAGGGGACTAATACCACTTTTTAACACCTCCACTACTACTACCACCACTACCTCACCACCACTATACACTATACACACCACCACCAAACTACCACCAAACTACCACCTCCACCACCACCAGCACTACCACCTCAGCCCAGTTAAATCTACAAACATTTCCAGCGATTCGACTGGGTTATAATTTTTCCCACACTTCCCTATACTTCTCATGAACAATTGTATTTATTATTTTCTTTCTTCCAGCCCATCCCATCCAAACCTGCATCCAACCCTTCTATGACTAAAGCTGACGTCAGGTACCATTGGCTTTACCCACTCTTTTGTCATCTGTTGGCCTAGTTAAGTAGCATCTAACCAGTTATTTGAGCATGTCTGAACGTTGACCAGCTGGGAGCTGTGGCGTAGTTACAATCCACTACACCAGTTCTTCTTCTTCGTTCTTAATTATTAGTGTTGAAGGGGATCGAGATTTATCTGCCAGTGGGTTTGAACTCGAGACTTTGTTCGAATTCATCAACCATGAGCTTTTTGCCGACTCGACCACGCCTCCAACACAATTAAGCGTTACGTGTCAACTGGTTATGCGCCATTGAGGCCATTGACTCCGATTTCAGCCTGCTTTTCTTTTTGGATTTGCTTCCATAGCCTTTGTCCAATCAAGAACAAACTACAAGGCAGCAGTTGTTTAATTTTGGAGTTGTCTCTCCTAGAAGAGTGGCTGTCCCCAGCTAACAAGCCTCATCTGCCCGAGGGTTCGAACTCGAGACTTTTCGGTTTAGCTTTTACCGACTCGACCACGCCGACCCCCACTACACCAGTTATTAAGGCTTGTCTGGATGTTGGGAAGTAGAGAGACCTATTTATGGAGGCGTGGCGTAGTTACAATCTACTCCACCAGTTATTAAGGCTTGTCTGGATGTTGACGAGCTGGGAAGTAGAGAGACCTATGGGGCGTGGCGTAGTTACAATCTAACACACAAAGAGTGTCTCTAATTTTTAAGAGAAATTAACATGCCATCTGGGACAGGCCGCTCCCTCCGCTGCATGTGACGCTATTTGTCTTCTTCTTCTTCTTCTTCGTTCTTAATTGTGAAATATGGTGGAGGATTCAGACAACAAGTCCAACTTCGTGGACAAACCGGACTGTGGTCTCCAGTTTGTCAGGTGCCCCATATAATTTTTCCCTGAGTGGGGTGGGCAGGGGCCAGTGTCTGACTCGTGCCTGGCTATACAAAGTACATTCCTGGAGTACGTGCTCCGTGTTTTCCGGGGCCTTGCCACAAGGGCACAATTCGCTACACCCAACTTTCAGTTTTCTGTGCATGTGTTGATTTAGTCTGTTGTGGCCTGTTCTAAGTCGAAAGATTATGTATTGTTGTTTTCGTGTTAAATTATAATAGCCGTCGTCTTTAATGTAGTGAGGGTGTGTGACAGACCACATTTGCGTTTGTTTGTTTTTTATTATTCTTTTTATTTCTTTTGGGTGTAGCGAAATTTCCGGTTGTGGTTTCTTTCCCCCAATTTTTGCCAGCTGGTCTGCAATCTCGTTACCCTGGATCTGGCAGTGGCCCGGGATCCACTGCAGCACAATTCTGCTGCAGGTATTTTTTAGCTTCTCTAGTGCTAAGTATGTGACACAATTTGTGACAATACAAATACATGAGAATATTTGTCATGATAAAAGTATGTCACTTATTTGTGACAAAACACGCATGTGACACTGTGAAAATACAAGTATGTGACACAACTTTGGCCAACAGACTCAGTCGAGATAATAATGCTGACAAGAGCAACAACCGCAACAAGAGCAACAACCGCAACAAAAGCAACAACCGCAACAGCAGATTCAGCTACGCCAGGCCCGTGGGGGGAGACGACAGCGATGATGAGGACATGGACAAGCTGAGGCCTGAACAGAGGACGGTTATAAAGGTAGGGTCGTGGTGAGGTCATCAAGGTGGGGGTCACGGTAAGGTCATCAAGGTAGGGTCAAGGTGATGTCATGAAGATAGGGTCAAGGTGAGGTTATTAAGGTCGGCTCATTGAGGTAGGGTCACGGTGAGGTTATCAATGTTGGGTCACGGTGAGGTCATCAAGGTAGGGTCAAGGTGATGTCATGAAGATAGGGTCAAGGTGAGGTCATCAAGACAGGGTCTAGGTTAGGTCATCAAGGTGGGGTCATGGTGAGGTCATCAAGGTGGGGGGTCAAGTTGAGGTCATCAAGGTATATTCTAGGTAAGGTCATCAAGGTAGGGTCTAGGTGAGGTCATCAAGGTAGGGTCAGGATGAGGTCATCAATATGGGGTCAAGGTGAGGTCATCAAGACAGGGTCTAGGTTAGGTCATCAAGGTAGGGTCATGGTGAGGTCATCAAGGTAGGGTCACAATGAGGCATCAAGGTGGGGGTCAAGGTGAGGTCATCAAGATGGGGGTCAAGATGATGTCATCAAGGAAGCGTCTAGGTGAGGTCATCAAGGCAAGGTCACAGTGAGGTCTTCAAGGTGGGGGTCAAGGTGAGGTCATCAAGGTAGGGTCTAGGTAAGGTCATCAAGGTAAGGTCACGGTGAGGTCATTACGGTGGGGGTTCAATGTGAGGTCATCTAGGTAGGGTCACGGTGAGATCACCAAGGTAGGGTGATGTTGAGGTAATAAAAATAGGGTTACGGTAAGGTCACCCAAGGTGGTTGTCATTGTGAGGTCACCAAGATGGGGTTACGGAGAATTCATCAAGGTAAGGTCACGATAAAGGCCATCAAGGTAGAGTCAAGGTGAGGTCATCCACAGGGACATCACTGACCCACATCTCTCCCACAGGGACTCAGCCCTCTAGCCAGCAGTTTCTTCACCCTAGCTGGTATCGAGGAAAAGAAGAAAAAAGAAAAGCTGCTGAGTCAGACGACGTCGGCGTCTAAGGAGTCGGCAGAAGGGGAGGCCACCGTCGCAGAGGAGACACAGGAAGCAGGGGAGGATGAGGAGGGAACTGGAGAACCAGAGGAGGTCGAGAGTGATGAGGAGATACCCATACAGAAAGAGCGCACTTACTCCATTGGTGTTGTAGAGAATGGTGAGTAGTGCGAATATGTATATGTATACATATATATATATATATATATATATATATATATATATATATATATATATATATATATATATATATATATATATATATATATATATATATATATATATATATATATATATATATATATACATATATATACATATATATATACATATATATATATATACATATATATATACTTATATATATATATATATATATATATATATATATATATATATATATATATATATATATATATATATATATATATATATATATATATATATATATATATATATGGTGAGTAGTGTGAATATGTATACATACATACTGTTACGGGTCAGTTGTAGGTTAAATTAGAATATGTTAGAATAGTCTAGAACTAGGGGAGAGTGCGTGTGTGAGTGGAGTTCACCCTACTGTGTAGTTACCCTTGTGTGTTTATGTCTTCTAGTCCCAATGTCGAATGCGGGTATAAAAGGGCGAGTGAACGATTGTGAAGGCAGTCAGCGGGTTAGTAGCGGTTAGGACGAGGGCTGTTCTGGTACGCTTGAATGCATTGAGACGCATAAAAGTAGTGAAGTTAGACACGAAGCGTTGTTGTTGATTTGAAACTAACCCAGAACGTAACACATACATTATATATATATATATATATATATATATATATATATATATATATATATATATATATATATATATATATATATATATATATATATATATATGTATATATATATAGTTTTTGATTAGATCCTAAGCTACAAGGGTGACACCCCACCTAGTGACGCCACTAATATAACGTGCCCTTTGACAGGCATTACACGGTTGGAAGAGCTGACCTACGGCCCGCCACTGACCAACTGTGGGTTAAGTGAATCGGACCTAACATTCCTGTCTACTGAAATCGCTTACCTGTGGCGATACAGGTAGGTCGTGTTCGTGAGATTGTTTAGAGCTGAGATTGACAGGTGTGGTGGTGAAGAAATGGGGGGGGGGGGAGAGAACAGGGACGTCAAAACAAATTGGTGTAGATTATTTGGGACCAAAATTAAAATTGGATTCTGTATGAAACAAAAATGAAGCAATATAAAAATAATAGCGAGACTAAAATAAAATTATACAGAACTAAAATACATTTATGAGATCACAATAAAGTTACACAGATAAGTGATTTAAAAAAAATATATATATATAATTTTTTTTTGAGAAAAAGACTGGTAAAATAATTGGGTTGGTGGTGGTGAGGGGGTGGGGGTGAGAGGTCTAAACTGAACCGCTAATTGAAAATGCTAAATTATTAAACCACCTGCCGGACACAACTAGCCTATATGACAAACCTAGTTTGTGATATTCGGGATCACTAACTTAAAGGGTAAATGGTTTTAGTAGAAATGTAAGGCATAATAAATGTTACAGTGTCATTTCAATCACTTAGCTTTGGTTCACGGAGGTCTAAGTGCTAATCGAAAGTTGTTTTTTTTTTACACGCATCCTCTTTTGCTGTGGTTCCTCAGTCTGGCACCTTTGTTGGTGTCTTACATTTTGTTTATAATATCACGGTTGAATATTACGTCACATATAAACATATCTACGTCAGAGCTGTTGACTGTGTCATGGTTGTTGTGCTACGTCACTAAGTGGCGTGTCTTTCTCCCCCAATCAGAAACCACTGTGAGTGTGTGACCGCTGTCTTCACGCGTGCGAGGGACAACGTCTACGATCTGGTCATTGAGATGGTCAAGGTACCTGATCTAACAGTCTTAAGTAACTGTTAAAGTGTGTCTGTCGAATTATCATGTTTTGTGTGGTAGATGACACAACACACTTAATAGTGGCGGTGTGCGTGTGTGATGTGCGTGTGTGCTGTATTGTGTGCTGTAGTGTGTGTTGTAGTGTATGCTGTAGTGTGTGTTGTACTGTGTGCTGTGGTGTGTGCTGTGGTGTGTGCTGTAGTGTGTATGCTGTACTGTGTGCTGTAGTGTATGCTGTACTGTGTGCTGTAGTGTGTGCTGTAGTGTGTGCTGTAGTGTGTGCTGTAGTGTGTGCTGTAGTGTATGCTGTACTGTGTGCTGTACTGTGTGCTGTAGTGTGTGCTGTAGTGTGTGCTGTAGTGTGTGCGTGCTGTAGTGTGTGCTGTAGTGTGTGATGTAGTGTGTGCTGTAGTGTGTGCTGTAGTGTGTGCTGTAGTGTGTGATGTAGTGTGTGCTGTAGTGTGTGTGCTGTAGTGTGTGTGCTGTGGTGTGTGCTGTAGTGAGTGCTGTAGTGTGTGATGTAGTGTGTGCTGTAGTGTGTGTGCTGTAGTGTGTGTGCTGTGGTGTGTGCTGTAGTGGGTGCTGTAGTGTGTGATGTAGTGTGTGATGTAGTGTGTGCTGTAGTGTGTGCTGTAGTGTGTGATGTAGTGTGTGCTGTAGTGTGTGTGCTGTAGTGTGTGTGCTGTGGTGTGTGCTGTAGTGTGTGCTGTAGTGTGTGATGTAGTGTGTGATGTAGTGTGTGCTGTAGTGTGTGCTGTAGTGTGTGCTGTAGTGTGTGCTGTAGTGTGTGCTGTAGTGTGTGCTGTAGTGTGTGATGTAGTGTGTGATGTAGTGTGTGCTGTAGTGTGTGCTGTAGTGTGTGCTGTACTGTGTGCTGTATTGTGTGCTGTAGTGTGTGTGCTGTATTGTGTGCTGTAGTGTATGATGTAGTGTGTGATGTAGTGTGTGCTGTAGTGTGTGCTGTAGTGTGTGCTGTAGTGTGTGCTGTAGTGTGTGCTGTACTGTGTGCTGTGGTGTGTGCTGTGGTGTGTGCTGTAGTGTGTGCTGTAGTGTGTGCTGTAGTGTGTGCTGTATTGTGTGCTGTACTGTGTGCTGTACTGTGTGCTGTAGTGTGTGCTGTAGTGTGTGCTGTATTGTGTGCTGTACTGTGTGCTGTACTGTGTGCTGTAGTGTGTGCTGTAGTGTGTTCTGTACTGTGTGCTGTAGTGTGTGCTGTAGTGTGTCCTGTACTGTGTGCTGTAGTGTGTGCTGTAGTGTGTGCTGTATTGTGTGCTGTAGTGTGTGTGCTGTATTGTGTGCTGTACTGTGTGCTGTGGTGTGTTATGTAGTGTGTGTTGTAGTGTGTGATGTAGTGTGTGATGTAGTGTGTGTTGTAGTTTGTGATGTAGTGTGTGATGTAGTGTGTGATGTAGTGTGTGATGTAGTGTGTGATGTAGTGTGTGCTGTAGTGTGTGCTGTAGTGTGTGATGTAGTGTGTGCTGTAGTGTGTGCGTGCTGTAGTGTCTGCTGTAGTGTGTGATGTAGTGTGTGCTGTAGTGTGTGCTGTAGTGTGTGCTGTAGTGTGTGATGTAGTGTGTGATGTAGTGTGTGCTGTAGTGTGTGTGCTGTAGTGTGTGTGCTGTAGTGTGTGCTGTAGTGTGTGCTGTAGTGTGTGATGTAGTGTGTGATGTAGTGTGTGCTGTAGTGTGTGCTGTAGTGTGTTCTGTAGTGTGTGCTGTAGTGTGTGCTGTAGTGTGTGCTGTAGTGTGTGCTGTAGTGTGTGCTGTAGTGTGTGCTGTACTGTGTGCTGTATTGTGTGCTGTAGTGTGTGTGCTGTATTGTGTGCTGTAGTGTATGATGTAGTGTGTGTTGTAGTGTGTGATGTAGTGTGTGATGTAGTGTGTGCTGTAGTGTGTGCTGTAGTGTGTGCTGTAGTGTGTGCTGTAGTGTGTGCTGTGGTGTGTGCTGCAGTGTGTGCTGTAGTGTGTGCTGTAGTGTGTGCTGTATTGTGTGCTGTACTGTGTGCTGTACTGTGTGCTGTAGTGTGTGCTGTAGTGTGTGCTGTATTGTGTGCTGTACTGTGTGCTGTACTGTGTGCTGTAGTGTGTGCTGTAGTGTGTCCTGTACTGTGTGCTGTAGTGTGTGCTGTAGTGTGTCCTGTACTGTGTGCTGTACTGTGTGCTGTAGTGTGTGCTGTATTGTGTGCTGTAGTGTGTGTGCTGTATTGTGTGCTGTACTGTGTGCTGTGGTGTGTGATGTAGTGTGTGTTGTAGTGTGTGATGTAGTGTGTGATGTAGTGTGTGTTGTAGTGTGTGATGTAGTGTGTGATGTAGTGTGTGATGTAGTGTGTGATGTAGTGTGTGATGTAGTGTGTGATGTAGTGTGTGCTGTAGTGTGTGCTGTAGTGTGTGTGCTGTATTGTGTGCTGTACTGTGTGCTGTACTGTGTGATGTAGTGTGTGCTGTAGTGTGTGTTGTAGTGTGTGCTGTAGTGTGTGTGCTGTAGTGTGTGCTGTAGTGTGTGATGTAGTGTGTGCTGTAGTGGTGTGTGTGCTGTAGTGTGTGCTGTAGTGTGTGTGCTGTAGTGTGTGATGTAGTGTGTGATGTAGTGTGTGCTGTAGTGTGTGCTGTGGTGTGTGATGTAGTGTGTGCTGTAGTGTGTGCTGTAGTGTGTGTGCTGTAGTGTGTGATGTAGTGTGTGATGTAGTGTGTGCTGTAGTGTGTGCTGTAGTGTGTGCTGTGGTGTGTGATGTAGTGTGTGATGTAGTGTGTGCTGTAGTGTGTGCTGTAGTGTGTGCTGTAGTGTGTGATGTAGTGTGTGATGTAGTGTGTGATGTAGTGTGTGCTGTAGTGTGTGCTTTGCGTGTGTTCTCTAGTGTGTGCTGTAGTGTGTGCTGTAGTGTGTGCTGTAGTGTGTGCTTTGCGTGTGTGCTGTAGTGTGTGCTTTGCGTGTGTGCTGTAGTGTGTGCTGTAGTGTGTACTGTACTGAGTGCTGTAGTGTGTGTGCTGTAGTGTGTGCTGTAGTGTGTGCTGTAGTGTGTGCTGTGGTGTGTGATGTAGTGTGTGATGTAGTGTGTGCTGTAGTGTGTGCTGTAGTGTGTGCTGTTGTGTGTGTGTGCTGTAGTGTGTGCTGTAGTGTGTGCTGTATTGTGTGCTGTACTGTGTGCTGTGTGTTTGATGTAGTGTGTGCTGTAGTTTGTGCGTGCTGTAGTGTATGCTGTAGTGTGTGCTGTAGTGTGTGCGTGCTGTAGTGTATGCTGTAGTGTGTGCTTTAGTGTGTGCTGTACTGTGTGCTGTACTGTGTGCTGTAGTGTGTGCGTGCTGTAGTGTGTGCTGTAGTGTGTGCTGTAGTGTGTGCTGTAGTGTGTGCTGTACTGTGTGCTGTAGTGTGTGTTGTAGTGTGTGCTGTAGTGTGTGCGTGCTGTAGTGTATGCTGTAGTGTGTGCGTGCTGTAGTGTGTGCTGTAGTGTGTGCTGTAGTGTGTGCTGTAGTGTGCGCTGTAGTGTGTGCTGTAGTGTGAGTGGGTATGACGGGTAGGGGGTGTCCATACATTTAAGATCCTTTGCTACTGAGTAGGATGGGGAGGGGGGTAGTAAATAATATGTCCCAAACAAAAATTGTGTTTAAATCAAATTATGCTACTTTTAGTGAACACAAAAGATCATTTTATGTAACAATACATTCATACTTTTTAAAGCTATATTATGAATATAAAATGGATGTACGAAGTTAATGTTTTATAATACACATATTTGTCAAGAAACTATAGTACATGCAATGTAAGATAATTTTTCCCATAAAAAACGAGCCATTAGATTAATGAACGTAACACGCGATTGTGTAAAAATATAACTTAAAACAACAAAAGTATGGAACAATCCACTAAGCACAGCATCGTTAAATCATGAAGTATTTACCAACCAAGTTACTTAACTCTAGATACACCATAGTGTGGTAATGAAGTCAAGGGAAATAATCCAAGTCTCTATCTCTCCCCCCCCCCTCAGTCGTGTGAGCTGTACGTGCGAGCAGAGCACTGGTGGGGTGAGGGCTATCGCATGGTGGCACAGACCACCTCCTTCCCTGTCAAGTCGGGAAGGTTCTTCGCCTTCGCCATAGAGGGCTCCATGGTCATCGATTCTCCGGAGCTGGTTCCAGACTCAGGTGAGTCACGTGGTTTGGGAACCGTACGCCACGCACTTAGATGAGGAAATTAAGAAAGCCAATATTGTAGCTAAAAACAACGTTGAAACTCTATACATTTAGCATTTAGTATTTAAATTAAATAAAAAAACAGCCATGTTCTCATGTAGTATTAAATGTACACACACACACACACACACACACACACACATATATATATATATATATATATATATATATATATATATATATATATATATATATATATATATATATATATATACACACGTTGTATTGTTAAACCCTTAAATAGTCAATGCGTATATTGTAACGCTTGAAATATAAGACTGCGTATACTGTTTTAACCCATACCACGTGATGTGCCTCAAATGGTTGCAGGAAACGTTTACACCCGCACCCTGTATTACTACCTGAGTACAGTCACCTGCCTGGAGTATGTCGTGCGGAAACCCAGTCTCAAGGACGAGGATGTAAGTGGCCTTTGGTTGTCCTGACCAGCGGGCAGTAGCAGAAATATCCCATGGTGCCTTAATGAAGGGGAGGTCACTAGTACAGACTGACACCGTATAATTCCAGTTTATGTCATTAAAAATTGGAATAACAGACTATAACTTACTCATACTCTGCTGTAGTTTTTTAATGAATTAGAGCACTATGAAATGTATGCAGTTAGACACTATGACCAATCTACAACCCCCACCTATGAAACTTGGTGTCAACCGTAAATTGACCGAGGCTATTCAGCTTAAATAACTAGTCGTATCTGCCCCCTGTAATGGAGGCCTACTTCAGCAGATATAGGTAGAGTTATATTCCCCAGATCATAAGCGGACATGCTACGTGTTTTGCATTAACCAATCAATTAATTATATAAAAACTATTTGTGGGAGGTGGGGGTGTAAAAATCGTTTGCCGCATTCAAACATTTTAGCCGTCTTTATCGGTCTTCTGCTGCCTTTACTAGATCAAGGGCGGAGGTATGTCGTCCGCGGCGGCGGCCAAGAAAGGAGGGAAGAAAAAAGAGGAGATCAAGTCAGAGGCGGAGCCTGACTTTAACCTCGAGATCACAGCCTACTGTCAGGGGACCCACACCCACGGGGTGGACATCGCCACCATGGCCATCTTTCTCAACGGCCCTGACCTTTGGTTCAAGAGACACGTGGAGCTGCGTCACTCGGATAGTATGTTTTTTTGACAAGTTTTGTTTCAGTGTGGTCTGTAAGTTTTTGACAAGTTTTGTTTCGGTGGGGTCTGTAAGTCTTTGGCAAGTTTTGTTTTTAGGTGGTCTGTAATTCTGTGACAATTTTGTTTCGAGATGCTCTGTTAGTTTTGACAAGTTTTGTTTCGAGGTGTCCTGATAGTTTTTGGCAAGTTAAGGTTGATGTTAGTGTGACAATAAGTCTGACATTTTTTTAAAAGAATTTTGGTACATGAGTTTAATAAGAGCAAAGAGAACTGAAATTTAGTGCTATGGAGACCCAGTTGCTTGTGTATGGAAGGCGTATGTTGCTACTGGTTGCTAATGAGACCCAGTTGCTTGTGTATGGAAGGCGTATGTTGCTACTGGTTGCTAATGAGACCCAGTTGCTTGTGTATGGAAGGCGTATGTTGCTACTGGTTGCTAATGAGACCCAGTTGCTTGTGTATGGAAGGCGTATGTTGCTACTGGTTGCTAATGAGACCCAGTTGCTTGTGTATGGAAGGCGTATGTTGCTACTGGTTGCTATGGAGACCCAGTTGCTTGTGTATGGAAGGCGTATGTTGCTACTAGTTGCTATGGAGACCCAGTTGCTTGTGTATGGAGGGCGTCTGTTGCTACTGGAACGAGTCCCGTTTGTGGATACTTCAACTTGTTCTATATGTTGCTATAATGACCAAACTATATGTTGGGGGGGGGGGTGTCTGCTACCTAATAAAACATCGCCCCTGTTACCTCAGATGTGCTGCTGATAGCCATACTATATGTTGGAGGGGGGGGGTGTCTGCTACCTAATAAAACATCGCCCCTGTTACCTCAGATGTGCTGCTGATAGCCATACTATATGTTGGAGGGGGGGGGGTCTGCCACCTAATAAAACATCGCCACTGTTACCTCAGATGAACTTCTGATAGCCATACTATATATGTTGGGGGGGGGGGGGGTCCGCTACCTAATAAAACATCGCCACTGTTACTCCAAATGTGCTGCTGATAGCCATACTATATGTTGGGGGGGGGGGGGTTGTCGCTGCCACCTAATAAAACATCGCCACTGTTACTCCAAATGTGCTGCTGATAGCCATACTATATGTTGGGGGGGGGAGGGGTGTCTGCCACCTTATAAAACATCGCCCCTGTTACTCTAGATGTGCTGCTGCTACAGTTGGTGAAGTGCATGAAGAAAGAGAAAGCCTTCAAGCAGATCTGGTGGAGGATGGTCATCCTCCTGGGCTACCCGGAGAAGGAGATAGAGACGGAGAAAGGCAAAACGAAATGGTCAGCCATAATCGTAACGGTAGGTCACATCCGGTCACACACAACCTGTCACATTCTGTCACATTCCGTCACATTTCGTCACATTCTGTCACATTCTGTCACATTCCGTCACATTTTGTCACATTCTGTCACATTCTGTCACATTCTGTCACATTCTGTCACATTCCGTCACATTTTGTCACGTTTTGTCACATTTTGTCACATGACGCCAATACGATATCCCTGTAACATTGTTAAAAGGTCAAAATCATGGTAGATAAGTAAGGAGAGCGAGAGACAGCGGGGATGGGGGGGGGGGAGATACAATAGCATTGAAAATAATGTATATAATGACTTCGCGTGTTGTAGTAATCGTATCCAGTCCATACTATGTAATCCGATCCTTATCTGCTACGCAATGGAAACGTTTCTCTAACACTTTTTAAAATTAAACAGTACAGTAAAGCTTGCCAGAGTAATACTAACCTACTGTTTCTTTAAATGAAGATTTGGGTTAGCTAGAGTGGCGTAGGCAGTGGTGTGTTTTAAGCGGGTTATAACCACTCCCAAGAGCCCCGAAATTAAAATTATCGCCTCGATAAATTATTATTGACGTCGTCTCGTTCCTGCTGTTTTGAGCCTACGATTTCAAAATTTCGATCGTCATGTAAACAATAGTTATTTTTATTCAAATCGTGATGGAATATATATATATATATATATATATATATATATATATATATATATATATATATATATATATATATAGAGAGAGAGAGAGAGAGAGAGAGAGAGAGAGAGAGAGAGAGAGAGAGAGAGAGAGAGACTATATATAGACTATATAGACTATAGACTATATACATATATGTAATGGGACCCCCACGCCGCCATCCCCATCCCCTACCATAACCAATCCCATCTGCCTACGCCACAATTGTCGCTACCACAAAGATTTCATTGTCGCTACCACAAAAATTCCATGGTCGCTACCACAAAGATTCCATTGTCGCTACCACAAAGATTCCATTGTCGCTGCCTCAAAGATTTCATTGTCGCTACCACAAAGATTTCATTGTCGCTACCTCAAAGATTCCATTGTCGCTACCACAAAAATTCCATGGTCGCTACCACAAAGATTCCATTGTCGCTACCACAAAGATTCCATTGTCGCTACCACAAAGATTCCATTGTCGCTACCACAAAGATTCCATTGTCGCTACCACAAAAATTCCATTGTCGCTACCTCAAAGATTCCATTGTCGCTACCTCAAAGATTCCTCTTCCAGATTTTGAAGCGCTGCTTCGAGGACAACCTGAACGTCCAGGACCGTGGCATCCTGCGACTCATCTCCATCCTGGAGATTATGGGACTGGACAAGACGATCGATCGTCTGCTCTTCACCATGAGATCCTAGTACGTTCCCCTTGTTGTGTCTGCTACGGCTTATCTGGACTTGACCGTTTCCATAGAAACACTGGCAAAATTTTACACTAGCACAGGGAGGTGTTGGGTTGTGGCTAGTATACGGATTAGGGTCAGCGATTAATCCAGTGATATGTTTAGGGTTAGGGTTGAGGTTTGTAATTGTAGCTTTCAACTCGTCCTCTTGTTGAAAAAGTATCGTCTTTCGGTATGGCAAATACACATTTTAACTTAGATTTAGTATGACTGACTATTAAACTTAACTAATATTAGAACACTGAGACTTTTCTAAAAAACCAAATAATTTCTCTATACATTTGTTACGGCATACGTGTGAGGTATGTTAAAGCTAAGTCTTATAACAATCCCATATACTCTATGTACAGCAAGGGGACGCTACTCGTGTCCAAACAGGCACCGCGTTATCTGAAGCTCATGTATCACTGGATCCTCAACACCAAGATCACACGCAACAGTTTACTCAGGATGGTTGGTAAGCTCAGGCCTTAATTAGTGCTAATGAGCTCATCCTTTAATTTAGATTGGTGAGATCGTACTGTTATAAGCGTTCGTCGTTTCAATTAAGATTGGTAAGCTAGTACCTTAATTAGTGCTAATGAGCTCATCCTTTAATTAATTCAGATTGGTAAGATCGTACTGTTATAATGGTTCGTCATTTAAATTAAGATTGGTAAGCTAGTGCATTAATTAGTGATAATGTGCTCATGTTTTAATAATTTTAAGGTCGTAAGATTTTAATATTGTAAGGATTTTTCCTTTCAAGCCTCAATTATGATTGGTACGCTATAGCCTTAATAATTTCATTGGTGTTTGTATCTATAACTTAAATCTATAACCGGAATCTATAACCTGAATCTATAACCTCAGAAGTTGCAGAAATTAGAAAGTTAGACTTTTCTAAAAATCTCTAACCTGAATTTGTCTATGATTTCACCAATCCCCTCCTCCACCCCCTCCCCCTATCATGTTTCAGACACCCAGATCCTCAAGCCGGTGTCCGACATGTTCCTCCTGAGACTGTCAGAGCTCCTGGACCCAGAGCTTCTCTACAAGATCGGCTCCTTCATGGATGTCGAGGATAACGTCATCCATGCCATCCACGGGGAGGAAATCATCAAAGATCCAATCTACTTGCCATTTAGGGTGAGTTCCCTTGTCATCTACTTGCCATTTAGGGTGAGTTCCCTTGTCATCTACTTGCCATTTAGGGTGAGTTCCCTTGTCATCTACTTGCCATTTAGGGTGAGTTCCCTTGTCATCTACTTGCCATTTAGGGTGAGTTCCCTTGTCATCTACTTGCCATTTAGGGTGAGTTCCCTTGTCATCTACTTGCCATTTAGGGTGAGTTCCCTTGTCATCTACTTGCCATTTAGGGTGAGTTCCCTTGTCATCTACTTGCCATTTAGGGTGAGTTCCCTTGTCATCTACTTGCCATTTAGGGTGAGTTCCCTTGTCATCTACTTGCCATTTAGGGTGAGTTATCATCAAAGATCCCATCTACTTGCCATTTAGGGTGAGTTCCCTTGTCATCTACTTGCGATTTAGGGTGAGTTCCCTTGTCATCTACTTGCCATTTAGGGTGAGTTATCATCAAAGATCCAATCTACTTGCCATTTAGGGTGAGTTCCCTTGTCATCTACTTGCCATTTAGGGTGAGTTCCCTTGTCATCTACTTGCCATTTAGGGTGAGTTCCCTTGTCATCTACTTGCCATTTAGGGTGAGTTCCCTTGTCATCTACTTGCCATTTAGGGTGAGTTCCCTTGTCATCTACTTGCCATTTAGGGTGAGTTCCCTTGTCATCTACTTGCCATTTAGGGTGAGTTCCCTTGTCATCTACTTGCCATTTAGGGTGAGTTATCATCAAAGATCCCATCTACTTGCCATTTAGGGTGAGTTCCCTTGTCATCTACTTGCGATTTAGGGTGAGTTCCCTTGTCATCTACTTGCCATTTAGGGTGAGTTCCCTTGTCATCTACTTGCCATTTAGGGTGAGTTATCATCAAAGATCCCATCTACTTGCCATTTAGGGTGAGTTCCCTTGTCATCTACTTGCCATTTAGGGTGAGTTCCCTTGTCATCTACTTGCCATTTAGGGTGAGTTCCCTTGTCATCTACTTGCCATTTAGGGTGAGTTCCCTTGTCATCTACTTGCCATTTAGGGTGAGTTCCCTTGTCATCTACTTGCCATTTAGGGTGAGTTCCCTTGTCATCTACTTGCCATTTAGGGTGAGTTCCCTTGTCATCTACTTGCCATTTAGGGTGAGTTCCCTTGTCATCTACTTGCCATTTAGGGTGAGTTCCCTTGTCATCTACTTGCCATTTAGGGTGAGTTCCCTTGTCATCTACTTGCCATTTAGGGTGAGTTCCCTTGTCATCTACTTGCCATTTAGGGTGAGTTCCCTTGTCATCTACTTGCCATTTAGGGTGAGTTCCCTTGTCATCTACTTGCCATTTAGGGTGAGTTCCCTTGTCATCTACTTGCCATTTAGGGTGAGTTCCCTTGTCATCTACTTGCCATTTAGGGTGAGTTCCCTTGTCATCTACTTGCCATTTAGGGTGAGTTCCCTTGTCATCTACTTGCCATTTAGGGTGAGTTCCCTTGTCATCTACTTGCCATTTAGGGTGAGTTCCCTTGTCATCTACTTGCCATTTAGGGTGAGTTCCCTTGTCATCTACTTGCCATTTAGGGTGAGTTCCCTTGTCATCTACTTGCCATTTAGGGTGAGTTCCCTTGTCATCTACTTGCCATTTAGGGTGAGTTCCCTTGTCATCTACTTGCCATTTAGGGTGAGTTCCCTTGTCATCTACTTGCCATTTAGGGTGAGTTCCCTTGTCATCTACTTGCCATTTAGGGTGAGTTCCCTTGTCATCTACTTGCCATTTAGGGTGAGTTCCCTTGTCATCTACTTGCCATTTAGGGTGAGTTCCCTTGTCATCTACTTGCCATTTAGGGTGAGTTCCCTTGTCATCTACTTGCCATTTAGGGTGAGTTCCCTTGTCATCTACTTGCCATTTAGGGTGAGTTCCCTTGTCATCTACTTGCCATTTAGGGTGAGTTCCCTTGTCATCTACTTGCCATTTAGGGTGAGTTCCCTTGTCATCTACTTGCCATTTAGGGTGAGTTCCCTTGTCATCTACTTGCCATTTAGGGTGAGTTCCCTTGTCATCTACTTGCCATTTAGGGTGAGTTCCCTTGTCATCTACTTGCCATTTAGGGTGAGTTCCCTTGTCATCTACTTGCCATTTAGGGTGAGTTCCCTTGTCATCTACTTGCCATTTAGGGTGAGTTCCCTTGTCATCTACTTGCCATTTAGGGTGAGTTCCCTTGTCATCTACTTGCCATTTAGGGTGAGTTCCCTTGTCATCTACTTGCCATTTAGGGTGAGTTCCCTTGTCATCTACTTGCCATTTAGGGTGAGTTCCCTTGTCATCTACTTGCCATTTAGGGTGAGTTCCCTTGTCATCTACTTGCCATTTAGGGTGAGTTCCCTTGTCATCTACTTGCCATTTAGGGTGAGTTCCCTTGTCATCTACTTGCCATTTAGGGTGAGTTCCCTTGTCATCTACTTGCCATTTAGGGTGAGTTCCCTTGTCATCTACTTGCCATTTAGGGTGAGTTCCCTTGTCATCTACTTGCCATTTAGGGTGAGTTCCCTTGTCATCTACTTGCCATTTAGGGTGAGTTCCCTTGTCATCTACTTGCCATTTAGGGTGAGTTCCCTTGTCATCTACTTGCCATTTAGGGTGAGTTCCCTTGTCATCTACTTGCCATTTAGGGTGAGTTCCCTTGTCATCTACTTGCCATTTAGGGTGAGTTCCCTTGTCATCTACTTGCCATTTAGGGTGAGTTCCCTTGTCATCTACTTGCCATTTAGGGTGAGTTCCCTTGTCATCTACTTGCCATTTAGGGTGAGTTCCCTTGTCATCTACTTGCCATTTAGGGTGAGTTCCCTTGTCATCTACTTGCCATTTAGGGTGAGTTCCCTTGTCATCTACTTGCCATTTAGGGTGAGTTCCCTTGTCATCTACTTGCCATTTAGGGTGAGTTCCCTTGTCATCTACTTGCCATTTAGGGTGAGTTCCCTTGTCATCTACTTGCCATTTAGGGTGAGTTCCCTTGTCATCTACTTGCCATTTAGGGTGAGTTCCCTTGTCATCTACTTGCCATTTAGGGTGAGTTCCCTTGTCATCTACTTGCCATTTAGGGTGAGTTCCCTTGTCATCTACTTGCCATTTAGGGTGAGTTCCCTTGTCATCTACTTGCCATTTAGGGTGAGTTCCCTTGTCGCCTTTGTGACGGGTTAAAAATCATAACCTTCATCTGTGGGCATTTTAAAATTTACATATATCATAATGTTTCAGGCTGACAAATTAACAAATTAAGGTTTACATTCGTGTCACCTAAATTTATGGAGCCGTTATTTCTGTGTCTCAAAGTGGGGTATAGTTTAAGTCCATCCTATTTAAGCTTCATTATGAATGTTACCAGCGTGTCCTGTGTCTCAGATCCTCATCAATGTTACTAACGTGTCCTGTGTCTCAGATCCTCATCAATGTTACTAACGTGTCCTGTGTCTCAGATCCTCATCAATGTTACTAACGTGTCCTGTGTCTCAGATCCTCATCAATGTTACTAACGTGTCCTGTGTCTCAGATCCTCATCAATGTTACTAACGTGTCCTGTGTCTCAGATCCTCATCAATGTTACTAACGTGTCATGTGTCTCAGATCCTCATCAATGTTACTAACGTGTCCTGTGTCTCAGATCCTCATCAATGTTACTAACGTGTCCTGTTGTCTCAGATCCTCATCAATGTTACTAACGTGTCCTGTGTCTCAGATCCTCATCAATATTACTAACGTGTCCTGTGTCTCAGATCCTCATCAAGAGCCGACAGAAGAAAGATGAGATCATCCACTACACACTCCTGCTGATGGACATGACGACAAATTGTCAGCTCTTTGAGGCCAGAAACTTTGTCATCACAGAGACAAGGAAATGGTTGGTTGCTGTCTGTCTTGTGGTGGTTACTGTCCTGTGGTGGTCACTGTCTGTCTTGTGGTGGTCACTGACTGTCCAGTGGTGGTCACTTTCCTGTGGTGGTCACTGACTGTCCTGTGGTGGTCACTGTCCTGTGGTGGTCACTGACTGTCCTGTGGTGGTCACTGTCTGTCTTGTGGTGGTCACTGTCCAGTGGTGGTCACTTTCCTGTGGTGGTCACTGTCCTGTGGTGGTCACTTTCCTGTGGTGGTCACTGACTGTCCTGTGGTGGTCACTGACTGTCCTGTGGTGGTCACTGTCCAGTGGTGGTCACTTTCCTGTGGTGGTCACTGACTGTCCTGTGGTGGTCACTGTCCAGTGGTGGTCACTTTCCTGTGGTGGTCACTGACTGTCCTGTGGTGGTCACTGTCCAGTGGTGGTCACTTTCCTGTGGTGGTCACTGACTGTCCAGTGGTGGTCACTGACTGTCCAGTGGTGGTCACTTTCCTGTGGTGGTCACTGACTGTCCAGTGGTGGTCACTGTCCAGTGGTGGTCACTGTTTGTCTTGTAGTGGTCACTGTTGTGTTTACCAATCGTTTTGTATCTTTTTTCTATGACGCCGTCATTAAATAAAATTATCTTTTTGACAATTTACATTTTACACTCCGCTACATATATTTGCATTATTGATTCAGTTTTAAATACACCTTCAATTAGTATAGAAAACCCTGCGAAAACCCAGTATTAAACATTCCTCTAAAATTATCACAGTTAATTTCCCCCCCCCCCTCTCCCCAATTAAAGAATCGTTATTTACGGACAAGCCCTTAAGTCGTGTCTCATTACTTTTTGTGTGCCAATCATTAGTTGAAACCTGGTGTGTTGCCAAACAAATCCTAGGATACCTGACAGAAATTGTCAGCCATTGTGTCCCACGTCAATTTGTGATTAATTTGTTCGCTGTAATGTCACAAAGCTGTAATGTTCCAAAGCTGTAATGTTACAAAGCTGTAATGTTACAAAGCTGTAATGTTACAACGCTGTAATGTTACAAAGCTGTAAGGTTACAAAGCTGTAATGTTACAAAGCTGTAATGTTACAAAGCTGTAATGTTACAAAACTGTAATGTTACAAAGCTGTAATGTTACAACGCTGTAATGTTACAAAGCTGTAATGTTACAACGCTGTAATGTTACAAAGCTGTAAGGTTACAAAGCTGTAATGTTACAACGCTGTAATGTTACAAAGCTGTAATGTTACAAAGCTGTAATGTTACAAATTTGTAATGTTACAAAGCTGTAATCGAATCTAAAATTGACCGATTGATACCTCATAGCTTGCGGGCTGTTAAATCATGTATATAAACTTGTGGGAGCCATTTGTAATTGTTTCCACCTTATTACTTTAAATTTTTAAAAACTGTTTTAAAAGCGTGACGTCCTTTATGGATAACCTCTTAGTGGCTTTTAAAATGTATTATTTAGTTTAGGATATCGATTCTGAAACTTTTCACATATTTGGTATTTATGTGGGACTAAAAAGTTTTCACATATTTGGTATTTATGTGGGACTAAAAAGTTTTCACATATTTGGTATTTATGTGGGACTAAAAAGTTTTCACATATTTGGTATTTATGTGGGACAATAAAATTTTCACATATTTTATATTCATGTGAGACTAAAAGCGTTTTCACATATTGGATATTTATATAGGACCTAAATGTGTTTTCACATATTTTATATTCATGTGAGACTAAAAGCGTTTTCACATATTGGATATTTATATAGGACCTAAATGTGTTTTCACATATTTTATATTCATGTGAGACTAAAAGCGTTTTCACATATTGGATATTTATATAGGACCTAAATGTGTTTTCACATATTTTATATTCATATGAGACTAAAAGCGTTTTCAAATATTGGATATTTATATAGGACATAAATGTGTTTTCACATATTTTATATTCATGTGAGACTAAAAGCGTTTTCACATATTGGATATTTATATAGGACCTAAATGTGTTTTCACATACTAATTTCACAGGATGGCGACAGTGGCTGATACAGAGCCGGACATTTGCGCCAAACTGGACAACTTGTTTACGTAAACAGCCGGCACTCTCGGCATCGCTGTCCAGCTCCAGTTGGACAGGCAACAGCTTAGTGTCTCGCTGTTGGACAGCAACATGTGACAGCATGTGTCTTGAAGACGTAGCCCTAATGATGACCCTAGACAAAACTTCACGACATTTTTCTTGATTTGGTTCTCCGTGCCTAGAAAATTAATTTGTATTTATAATTTTAAAAAGCATTATATATTCTCTACTCTGTGTTGTTGTTTTTTACGTAGAAAATCTACCCCCCCACCCCAACGGAATATATATAGAAATATGTAAACCCGAAAATATCAAGTGCCCCCCCCCCCCGGAGAAAAAGTCTGGAAGAAACACTACTTGCCACTGTGCTAAGCACATCAAAAACTAACGTCACAATCTCACTACACATTCTACTTGCCACTGTGCTAAACACATCAAACACTAACGTTACAATCTCACTACACATTCTACTTGCCACTGTGCTAAACACATCAAACACACACGTCACAATCTCACTACACATTCTACTTGCCACTGTGCTAAACACATCAAAAACTAACGTCACAATCTCACTACACATTCTACTTGCCACTGTGCTAAACACATCAAAAACTAACGTCACAATCTCACTACACATTCTACTTGCCACTGTGCTAAACACATCAAACACACACGTCACAATCTCACTACACATTCTACTTGCTACTGTGCTAAACACATAAAAAACTAACGTCACAATCTCACTACACATTCTACTTGCCACTGTGCTAAACACATCAAACACACACGTCACAATCTCACTACACATTCTACTTGCTACTGTGCTAAACACATCAAAAACTAACGTCACAATCTCACTACACATTCTACTTGCCACTGTGCTAAACACATCAAAAACTAACGTCACAATCTCACTACACATTCTACTTGCCACTGTGCTAAACACATCAAAAACTAACGTCACAATCTCACTACATATTCTACTTGCCACTGTGCTAAACACATCAAAAACTAACGTCACAATCTCACTACACATTCTTCTTGCCACTGTGCTAAACACATCAAACACACACGTCACAATCTCACTACACATTCTACTTGCCACTGTGCTAAACACATCAAAAACTAACGTCACAATCTCACTACACATTCTACTTGCCACTGTGCTAAACACATCAAAAACTAACGTCACAATCTCACTACACATTCTACTTGCCACTGTGCTAAACACATCAAAAACTAACGTCACAATCTCACTACATATTCTACTTGCCACTGTGCTAAACACATCAAAAACTAACGTCACAATCTCACTACACATTCTACTTGCCACTGTGCTAAACACATAAAAAACTAACGTCACAATCTCACTACACATTCTACTTGCCACTGTGCTAAACACATCAAACACACACGTCACAATCTCACTACACATTCTACTTGCCACTGTGCTAAACACATCAAAAACTAACGTCACAATCTCACTACACATTCTACTTGCCACTGTGCTAAACACATCAAACACACACGTCACAATCTCACTACACATTCTACTTGCTACGGTGCTACACACACCATTGAACTGTCAGTTTTATTTTCTGTTAGAAAATATTAAAATCAAAATCTTCCACATTTTAAATATTTATTTTATTTCATTTTTTTTTAAAATCGTTGAATTCTATATAAGACCATCAGTAGTTCTTTAATACAATATTAAAAAGAATGGTCAAGATCACAAGTGAGTAGAGAAACCGGCTCCTAGAAAATGCACAAACGGAAAACAGCGCAACGAAAAGTTGCGCGTACAGAAAACTGCGTAAATACAAACTAATTCTATTCCGTACATGTTACCATTCTTTGCAAATGTCAACAAATGCCCGATTTAAATAAGAAATTCCTTTGCGTACATTTGTGTGCGAAATTTTTCTCCATTGCACATTTTCCGGTCACCAGAGAAATCAGTACGATGATATTTTGTGTTATAATTGCTAATAAAACAAGCACAAAAACTTTATTGCACTAATGCTTTAAGTGAACTAAAAACGACAATTTTAAAGTTCCTCTCTTTAGTAAAACATTGGTCGCTAAAATGTGTAAGATATTTCATGAGCGACCAATGTTGGTATAATAAATGCTACAGTGAGTGCTTGCACTGCCAAATGTTCAATTCAGTTCTGGCATCTGCTGCTCCTGTACTTTATGTAGCTCCAAGATCCGAACTGTCTTCACCAAGTAGCCAGTAGGTCTCCATCACACCCTTGCCCTAATGGGAGTTAAAATAATACATTTAGTCTCTTTATTTGCACAGATTTCATATTTATCTTATGCTATAGTATCTAAGTATGTCATTTGATACATCGCAATTTAGAAAATCTTTTTTAGGTGGCATCGCATTAATTATGAAAAGAATACATGAAATAGTTAATGGCCTTTGCCCAGTTTATTAAAAAAAAAATACATTTAATTAGCAAATCGCCAAAGAAGTATTATGCTTAACTGATTCTCATTAGTCCAAAATGATACATAATATTATTAAAAGTTTTTAATATGATTTAAACAGTATAATAAAAACAATTACGGTGGTTAAAAAGTAATTATTATTTTACTTTCTCTTTATTTTAAAAACATTTTATTTTTCTCGCCACGTTCAGGATTTTCCCGCTTACTACTTGTATATGAAAAAGCAACATTAACATTTTGTTATCAAGTGGATAATACGGTTGACTAGTATATACTTTTCGGAAATTCCAAGTAAATACCTTAATCTCTATCTGTCCCCGCGACTGTATTGTAAAGCTGCCAAACGTCTGAAGGATGTCGACTGTACTCTGACTCATGTGGATCTTTAATTCTGGATTGAAAATATGTCAATAAAACATGTTGGTAGTGATTTTCATAGATAGTTTTTATGTACACTGTAGTGATTTTCCTATTTTCTATGTGTATGTTGGTATGGAACTTACCCACACACTAGACCAGGGAACTTACCCACACACTAGACCAGGGAACTTACCGACACCGTTAGACCAGGGAACTTACCGACACCGTTAGACCAGGGAACTTACCGACACCGTTAGACCAGGGAACTTACCCACACACTAGACCAGGGAACTTACCCACACACTAGACCAGGGAACTTACCCACACACTAGACCAGGGAACTTACCCACACACTAGACCAGGGAACTTACCCACACACTAGACCAGGGAACTTACCCACACACTAGACCAGGGAACTTACCCACACACTAGACCAGGGAACTTACCCACACACTAGACCAGGGAACTTACCCACACACTAGACCAGGGAACTTACCGACACCGTTAGACCAGGGAACTTACCGACACTGTTAGACCAGGGAACTTACCGACACCGTTAGACCAGGGAACTTACCCACACACTAGACCAGGGAACTTACCCACACACTAGACCAGGGAACTTACCCACACACTAGACCAGGGAACTTACCCACACACTAGACCAGGGAACTTACCGACACCGTTAGACCAGGGAACTTACCGACACCGTTAGACCAGGGAACTTACCGACACCGTTAGACCAGGGAACTTACCCACACACTAGACCAGGGAACTTACCCACACACTAGACCAGGGAACTTACCCACACACTAGACCAGGGAACTTACCCACACACTAGACCAGGGAACTTACCGACACACTAGACCAGGGAACTTACCGACACCGTTGGACTCCATCCTTGACGCCGTATTGACCGAGTCACCAAACAAACAATAACGTGGCATCTTTAGACCGACTACACCAGCACACACAGGACCTGGGGGTGGAGGACATGTTAGGACAGTACATAGTACATATAGGACCTCGGGGTGGAGGACATAGGACAGTATATAGGACATAGAGGACCTAGGGGGTGTAGGACATATGTTAGGGCAGTATAGAGGACATACAGGACATACAGGACCTGGGGTGGAGGACATATGTTAGGACAGTATATAGGGCATAGAGGACCTAAGGGTGTAGGACATATTTTAGGACAGTATACAGGACATAGAGGACATACAGGACCTGGGGGTGTAGGACATATGTCAGAACGGTACATAGGACATACAGGACCTACAGAGTACATGAAAACTCTGGAACACGACTACTACGAGCACATAAACAATGTACATCATTTACATAAGTGAAATTTTAAATTCTAAGAGACTGACAGTGGTCCACCTTTGTAGTCTACGTCCTGTAAGTAAATTACCCTTTCGGACATGGCGTCCATAGGGCTAATAATGTCACCTGTTTCCTTGATCGTGGTATAAGAGGAGACAGCTTGGTCAGTACTTTGCTCCACCTTTGTTTTCCCTGATATAAGTCAGGTACCCTTCAGTGCTGGGTGTGCCTAAGGTGGTCACTGTTTACCTAGCTTTGGAACAAACATTTATTTTTCCTACTCCTCCGCTACCCATATAAAAACTTGCCTGAGTTGAGTCCAATCCTCAGCTTGATGACAGTTTGGGGAAACCCCGATAAAAACTTGCCTGAGTTCAGTCCAATCCTCAGCTTGATGACAGTTTGGGGAAACCCCGATAAAAACTTGCCTGAGTTCAGTCCAATCCTCAGCTTGATGACAGTCTGGGGAAACCCCGATGCCTTGAACTCGGAAATCACCCGGAGCAAGGCCAAGGACATCCGAGCAATCTGCCGCGCATGCTCATTGCCGTTCCGGTTCGGCAGACCAGAGACCACCATGTAAGCGTCGCCTATGGTCTCCACCTGCAGAATTCACAACATAACCAGAGTTTCTTTCAGGCATCCCCTTCCCCCCTCCCCCGGATAAAATATAATTTCTATGGAAACTATACTGTATACTTCAACCAGTGTCTGTTCTCCGTGTACAATGTTTTCTATTGAAAAAGTCAACTTATTGTACCATGTTTCCATATAGCCCCCTTCGCGCAAATGATATATATATATATATATATATATATATATATATATATATATATATATATATATATATATATATATATATATATATATATATATATATATATATATATATATATATATATACAAAATGTATACTTCAACAAGTGTCTGTCCTCCATGTACAATGTTTTCCTATTGTAAAAGTAAAGTTCCCTTTTCAAACCTGACGGTCTATAGGGCTAGTGAAGTAGAGCTCACCTGTTTCTGTGACCTCGGCATATGAAGAGATAGTGTGGACTCAGGGAAGGTCTACTGACTTGAAGCCGGATTCGAAACCGAGAATTACGGGTTGGCAGTCCAGCTCTCTACCGCTAAGTCAATTTATTCTGACGTGTTTCCCTATTGACCGCCCCACCCCCTCCCACCCCCACCCAAGAGAAATACCCAGGTGTCTCTGCACCTAATGCCTGGACCCACCTTGTAGACATCAAAGCTGCCGATGACGTCATCGAAGCAGGAGTAGAGCTCGTTGAGGAAGATGATGATCTGCTCCGGCTTGAGCTGGGAGCAGATGACGGTGAAGCCGACGATGTCGCTGAAGTAGATGGTCACACAGTCGTAGAACTCTGGCTCCACCGTCAGGCCGGCCTTCAGTCTGTCTGCCACGCTCCTGTAGATGTGACACAGGGATGGTCAGATTAAAGAAAAAAGGAACTAAAGGGTCAAATAGTTCTAGAACTCTGGCTCCACCGTTCTTTAGGCTGTTTGCCACGCTGCTGGGGGGGGGGGGGGGTATTTTGGATTGTGGCATTTTACATGTCATTCTAATGTCATAGTAGATGTCTTTCTGAATAATGCCAGTTTTGATATCGCTATGAAAGATGTCACGTCGATGTCATTCTAGGTGATGTAATTTTACATTATAACATTTTAGATGTCACTCTGGGTAATGTCATTGCAGATGTCCTTCTGGGGAATATTATTTTTCCTTTCTTTCTGACTGTCAAATTAGATGTCATTATGGGGATGTCGCCTACAATTCCATTCTAGATTATGTCATTTTTTTGAGTTTATTCGGGATGATGTCCGTTTGGATTTTTAGATGAATTTAGATAGCATGTTGGCTGATGTTTATAGTGTCATACTGGTTGGAGACATTTTTAATGTCACTCTGGTTTCTGTCCTTTGGATGTGATTCGGAATTACGCCATTTCAGGTGTTAGTATTTGCTTACGTCATTCTGATTAATTAGTGCTACTGTCATTTTAGAAGTAATTCTGAATACAATTTTTTGTAATGTCAGTCTAGGTAGCTTCATGTTATTAGATGACATCTTGAGTGAAGCCATTTTTAAATGCCATTGTGGGCGATGTCATTTTGCGATGTCAATCTAGACATTATCATGCCCTTAAACAAAATTAAAGTTGATTCTGTCCCTTGCGAGATGCATTGTGCCCCTTAATAATGAAACGTCAAGCTGTGACGTCAATTAATAATTAAGTTTAATTAAGTTTAATTGATGAAAATTCAAAATGGCTGGCTTATTGGGCGTGACTTAAGAAAACTCGTTTTGAATATGGTCTTAGAATAAACAAAAAAAAACAGAAATTAAATCCTTTGAAATATTTTGAAATATTTTTAAACAGAATTGATTGCTGCATTATCTCACCAAGTAATGCAACAATTTTGTACAAAGACAAACATGTTTAGCGATTTAGTTGTTAGAGTCAGTAACATGTGGGCATGTCTGGGCAGCATCTATTTTTACGCGGGCAGCATCTGTTGGGGCATGACTTACGCGGGCAGCATGTGTTGGGGCATGACTTACGCGGGCAGCATGTGTTGGGGCATGACTTACGCGGGCAGCATGTGTTGGGGCATGACTTACGCGGGCAGCATCTGTTGGGGCATGACTTACGCGGGCAGCATCTGTTGGTGCATGACTTACGCGGGCAGCATCTGTTGGGGCATGACTTACGCGGGCAGCATCTGTTTAAGAAGCTCCTCAGATTTCTGCTTCTCTTGCTTGAGTTCCTCGACCTTCTCGTCCACGATCTTCTCCAGGTTGGTGCTGTATTTCTCCAACCTCTGCAGTAGGTTGTCCACCAGACTGCCGGACTTGTTCACCTTCCTGGGAGGGGATAACAGGAGGAGACGTGTCAGACGATATTTCAAGTGTGCAACAGAATTTCTAAAAGTATTTCCAAACAATAAAGCAATTTTTTTTTTTCTGATTAATAAAATAATTTATAGAATTTGTCTCCAAACTCGTACATTGTAATTGAATCTCATTTTCAAAAATCAAAATAGCTAAGACTAAAATTCAAGCAAGTGGGACGGAGTGGTCTAGCGGTAGAGAGCTGAACTGCTAACCCGTAAGTCTCAAGTTTGAATCCGGGTTCTAGTCAGTAGACCGTCCCTGAGTCCACCCAACTCTGATGGGTACCTAACTCACTTTAGGGAAAGTAAAGGCGGCTGGGCATAGTGCTGACCACACTATCTTTTCATATGCCGAGGTCACAGAAACAAGTGAACTCTACTTCACTAGCCCCATAGACCGTCTGGTTTGAAAGGGAAACTTTTTTACTTTAAAATTCATGCAAACAATTAAATATATACTCAATTTGTTTTTGGACTATTTTTCAATGCTCTTTCAGCATATCTTGTATATCAAGGTTTTGAGATTAGCTAGATTTAACTCCAACTCTTATGGTCTACAAAGCCGAGTTTCTGTTTACATTGAGGACACGAGTAAAGTTGCAATCAATTCTTACGCCATCAGTGAACGCAAGGAACTGGATAATTTGAGAAGTGGCAGCCTTTTAGTCGGGTCCTCCTCCCAGCATTTCTCCATCAGCTGACCTATGACCCCCATGTCAGGGGCGGTCTGGAAGCCTGGCCTAAGGGGGAAGTCCAGGTGTTCTTTGATTCTGGATACGATCTCTGGTTGGTCAGAACAGTGTCAGTTACGTAATAACGCTGTTTAAGTAACTAGTGACGTAAGTCTAATTAGAAAGCTATTCTAATTAACTTGCGACGTAAGTTCAATTAGGTCGTTTTCTAACTAGCTTTTGTCTTAAGTCGTATCCCAACAGGCCGCTGTTACTACTAGCTTGCGACAAAACAGACTTCAATGAATAAACGATATGAAAGACACGTAAGAAATCACATTTAAGTATTTTGTTCGTTTACCGTCATGTCTATCAATAAAAAACTAAACCAGTGGTTCTTAATGTGGGTTCTATCAATCAAACCCTAGGGGTTCGGCGAGTAAGTATTGGGGGTTCGGGTGGGGTCAAGAGACACATCATCCCCTCATATGATTCAAGATCGGATTTTTTATCTTTTAACTCCACAAATGTTATAATGTTTCGATGTAACATTGCACTGTGAAGATGGCCCAGACATGTAATTTATATCTATAAACATACAAATCGTAGACTCGACAAGCTCAGAGTATTCGGCCTACTTTTGAGTAGGGGGAGCTCGATTCTAAAAATAAGACACAAGAGTTATATTTCTTGATCCGATTATCTGTAGAGCAAGAAGTGGTGTTTACCGTTGATGGAGTACAACTCTCGCTCTTGTCCAAACGGCGCGTCCCTTGTTAAGATCTCCGAGATGATGATCCCCACACTGTACACGTCTGCTTCCGGTGTTGCCTTCCCTCCTGATCTTAGTACTTCCGGTGCCATCCAAAGTAAATCTAGAAAGTGGCCAATAACAAGCTAGCATACATTTGATTTTCTTTATGAGCTAACTAGATTTAGTTTTCAGCTTTTTAAAAACTTGCAACTTGTAAAACCAAATCGCCTTTTTCTTGCTGAAGTCACGTGACGTAATGGCTACTCACCCTTTTCGTGACGTTTTGTGTTGTCGTAAATGGTCGGTAGACCGTAATGGGCGACCTTGACCGAGAAGCGTGAGTCAATGAGGCATGCCTCGCTAGTCAGTCGCCCGTGGACACGGATGGGTTGTTTGTGGATGTACATGAGGGCCTGGGGGTGGGGACATACACTGGGAGCTGATCACGTGATATTGCTCAAATGTTTAAATTCTAGAAAGTTTTAAAAAATAAGTCCTACACCAATCTAATGACTTCATTATTCAAATTAGACATTAGTACTTCATACGTTGTTTAACACAAGTAACAAAATGGACAATACCCAGCAACACAAACCTATCTTTCAACGCCCACCTGGACAATGTCCTTCAACGCCCACCTGGACAATGTCCTTCAACACCCACCTGGACAATGTCCTTCAACACCCACCAGGACAATGTCCTTCAACACCCACCTGGACAATGTCCTTCAATACCCACCTGGACAATGTCCTTAACACCCACCTGGACAATGTCCTTCAACACCCACCTGGACAATGTCCTTCAACACCCACCAGGACAATGTCCTTCGACACCCACCTGGACAATGTCCTTCAATACCCACCTGGACAATGTCGTTCAAGATTGACAAGGAAAACACTAGGTCCAGTGTGAACGTCTCGTCCATGACGACTTCCTATGAAGACAAAGTTCTATAGATACAGAGCTAGACAAATATTACAGAGCTAGACAAATATTACAGAGCTAGACAAATATTACAGAGCTCGACAAATATTACAGAGCTAGACAATTACTGAGGAGCGATTTCATGATTTCTACATTTATTTTAAATCTTGGGCCCGCAACTACTTAATATTTTAACTCTACAGCCAAGTGTTATAATACCATCAGTAAATGTAAATACAGTCAGGTGATTGTTACAGTGATACAAACAGTAAATGTAAATACAGTCGATTGTTACAGTGATACAAACAGTAAATGTAAATACAATCAGGTAATCGTTACAGTGATACAAACAATAAATGTATATACCGCCGATTGTTACAGTGATACAAACAGTAAATGTAAATACAATCAGGTAATTGTTACAGTAATACAAACAGTAAATGTAAATACAGTCGATTGTTACAGTGATACAAACAGTAAATGTAAATACAATCAGGTAATTGTTACAGTAATACAAACAGTAAATGTAAATACAGTCGATTGTTACAGTAATACAAACAGTAAATGTAAATACCGTCTATTGTTACAGTTATACAAACAGTAAATGTAAATACAGTCGATTGTTACAGTAATACAAACAGTAAATGTAAATACAGTCGATTGTTACAGTAATACAAACAGTAAATGTAAATACAGTCGATTGTTACAGTAATACAAACAGTAAATGTAAATACAGTCGATTGTTACAGTGATACAAACAGTAAATGTATATACCGCCGATTGTTACAGTGATACAAACAGTAAATGTAAATACAATCAGGTGATTGTTACAGTGATACAAACAGTAAATGTATATACCGCCGATTGTTACAGTGATACAAACAGTAAATGTAAATACAATCAGGTGATTGTTACAGTGATACAAACAATAAATGTAAATACAATCAGGTAATCGTTACAGTGATACAAACAGTAAATGTAAATACAATCAGGTAATCGTTACAGTGATACAAACAGTAAATGTAAATACAATCAGGTAATCGTTACAGTGATACAAACAAAAAATGTATATACCGCCGATTGTTACAGTGATACAAACAGTAAATGTAAATACAGTCGATTGTTACAGTAATACAAACAGTAAATGTAAATACAGTCGATTGTTACAGTTATACAAACAGTAAATGTAAATACAATCAGGTGATTGTTACAGTGATACAAACAATAAATGTAAATACAATCAGGTAATCGTTACAGTGATACAAACAGTAAATGTAAATACAGTCAGGTGATTGTTAAGTGATACAAACAGTAAATGTAAATACAATCAGGTGATTGTTACAGTGATACAAACAGTAAATGCAAATACAGTCGATTGTTACAGTGATACAAACAGTAAATGTAAATACAATCAGGTAATCGTTACAGTGATACAAACAATAAATGTATATACCGCCGATTGTTACAGTGATACAAACAGTAAATGTAAATACAGTCGATTGTTACAGTAATACAAACAGTAAATGTAAATACAGTCGATTGTTACAGTTATACAAACAGTAAATGTAAATACAATCAGGTGATTGTTAAGTGATACAAACAGTAAATGCAAATACAATCAGGTAATCGTTACAGTGATACAAACAGTAAATGTAAATACAGTCAGGTGATTGTTAAGTGATACAAACAGTAAATGTAAATACAATCAGGTGATTGTTACAGTGATACAAACAGTAAATGTAAATACAGTCGATTGTTACAGTGATACAAACAGTAAATGTATATACAATCAGGTGATCGTTACAGTGATACAAACAGTAAATGTAAATACAATCAGGTAATCGTTACAGTGATACAAACAGTAAATGTAAATACAATCAGGTAATCGTTACAGTGATACAAACAATAAATGTATATACCGCCGATTGTTACAGTGATACAAAAAGTAAATGTAAATACAATCAGGTAATCGTTACAGTGATACAAACAGTAAATGTAAATACCATCAGGTAATCGTTACAGTGATACAAACAATAACTGTATATACCGCCGATTGTTACAGTGATACAAACAGTAAATGTAAATACCGTCTATTGTTACAGTTATACAAACAGTAAATGTACATACCATCATGTGATTGTTACACTGATACAACAGTAAATGTAAATACAATCAGGTGATTGTTAAGTGATACAAACAGTAAATGTAAATACAATCAGGTGATTGTTAAGTGATACAAACAGTAAATGTAAATACAATCAGGTGATTGTTACAGTGATACAAACAGTAAATGTAAATACCATCAGGTAATTGTTACAGCGATACAAACAGTAAATGTAAATACAATCAGGTAATTGTTACAGCGATACAAACAGTAAATGTAAATACCGCCAACGCTCCTTTGGGACAGTGTTCTGTGACCATAAACTTCTCATCGGCCTCCAAACAAAGGCCGATAAATCTCAGCAGGTTAGGGTGGTTGATGGCTCGCATCTGGGGAAGTTAAAAAGTGTTTTAGAAAGATGATGTTGACAGTTAGATAGCTTTAGGCCTACATTGACAGCCATACCATATTGAAAAGTCAGCAGCTTTAGGTCTACATCGTTTATCTCAGTTATAATAAGTGATACGGCGCTCGTTAAGGTTCTATGGCTTGGATCTTTGACTGGAAGTGTGATTCTGTATTAAATTATGTTTACAGTACTGGATTAAAACATGTTTAGAGTACTACTGGGTTAGATTACGTTTAAAGAATTGAATTAGATTATGTTTACAGTTCTGTATTAAAATATGTTTACAGTACTGGATTAGATGATATTTACAGTACTGGATTAGATTATGTTTACAGTACTGGATTAGATGATGTTTACAGTACTGGATTAGGTGATGTTTACAGTACTGGATTAGATGGATGATGTTTACAGTACTGGATTAGATGTTGTTTACTGGATTAGATGATGTTGACAGTACGAGATTAGATGATGTTTACAGTACTGGATTAGATGATGTTTACAGTACTAGATTAGATGATGTTTACAGAACTGGATTAGATGATGTTTACAGTACTGGATTAGATGGATGATGTTTACAGTACTAAATTAGATGTTGTTTACTGGATTAGATGATGCTGACAGTACGAGATTAGATGATGTTTACAGTACTGGATTAGATGATGTTTACAGTACTAGATTAGATGTTGTTTACTGGATTAGATGATGTTTACAGTACTGGATTAGATTATGTTTACAGTACTAGATTAGATGATAGTTACAGAACTGGATTAGATGAAGTTTACAGTACTGGATTAGATGGATGATGTTTACAGTACTAGATTAGATGTTGTTTAGTGGATTAGATGATGTTTACAGTACTGGATTAGATTATGTTTACAGTACTGGATTAGATGATGTTTACAGTACTAGATTAGATGATGTTTACAGTACTGGATTAGATGATGTTTACAGTACTGGATTAGATGTTGTTTACTGGATTAGATGATGTTTACAGTACTAGATTAGATGATGTTTACAGTACTAGATTAGATGATGTTTATAGTACTGGATTAGATGATGTTTACAGTACTAGATTAGATGATGTTTACAGTACTAGATTAGATGATGTTTACAGTACTAGATTAGATGATGTTTACAGTACTGGATTAGATGATGTTTACAGTACTGGATTAGATGTTGTTTACTGTATTAGATGATGTTTACAGTACTAGATTAGATGATGTTTACAGTACTAGATTAGATGATGTTTATACTACTGGATTAGATGTTGTTTACAGTACTGGATTAGATGATGTTTACAGTACTGGATTATATGACGTTTACAGTACTGGATTAGGTGATGTTTACAGTACTGGATTATATGACGTTTACAGCACTGGATTAGATGATGTTTACATTACTAGATTAGATGTTGTTTACTGGATTAGATGATGTTTACAGTACTGGATTAGATGGATGATGTTTACAGTACTGGATTAGATGGATGATGTTTACAGTACTGGATTAGATGTTGTTTACTGGATTAGATGATGTTTATAGTACTGGATTAGATGATGTTTACAGTACTGGATTAGAGTATGTTTACAGTACTGGATTAGATGATGTTTACAGTACTGGATTATATGACGTTTACAGTACTGGATTAGATGATGTTTACAGTACTGGATTAGATGTTGTTTACTGGATTAGATGATGTTTACAGTACTAGATTAGATGATGTTTACATTACTGGATTAGATGATGTTTACAGTACTGGATTATATGACGTTTACAGTACTGGATTAGATGATGTTTACAGTACTGGATTAGATGGATGATGTTTACAGTACTGGATTAGATGGATGATGTTTACAGTACTGGATTAGATGTTGTTTACTGTATTAGATGATGTTTACAGTACTGGATTAGATGTTGTTTACTGGATTAGATGATGTTTACAGTACTAGATTAGATGATGTTTACAGTACTAGATTTTATTGATTTACCTGCTGTAGCTCCTTCAGCAGCTGTGATGTCACATACAGGCCCTTGTGGTCCAGGCATTCAACTTTGACGACATTACCCTGAGATTGAAATGGTCTCAGTCAAAGCGAAGTAAAAAATTTGTTTAAAAAAGGATCATACCATTGTTTCATGTTAAAGCATAAACAATATAACTATTCGTCAACAAATGTTGACAACAACAAATATAAAATGTCAACCGTGCTGATAGGTGAAACGGATTTGGGCCTAAAGAATAGATAAATTGTCGGTCTTAGTTTTTTAACAAAAAGTATTTTAAAAAGTAGATTGCTATTCTCCATAAATTATGAAAATTGTGGGTAGCTTTTTGTATGTTGTAACACACTATTGATTTCAATATTGATAAATGTTTATTTCATAAAACTAATAAAATCCAATATTTATTATTAAGAGTATACATAAAAAATACGTATTCAGCTTTATTGGGTACCTGACTCACGTTAAGTAAACAAGGGCGGCCTGGCATAGTACAGACCGCACTAACTACCATTGCAAGCTGATGTCATTAAAACAGATGAGCTCAGCTGTCTGCAGAGTTTCTTCCAGGCATCTCTTCGGGGGGGGGGGTGTTTTAGCCCCCCCCCCCCCGAAGAAAGTCTAACGCCCCCCCCCCCCCGAACGAGATGGATTTTATATAGTAAACATACACTTTTACCTGTGTCCACCCCCCCCCCAGAAAAATGTTGACCGCCCCCCCCCTCGAAAATTTCAAAGCCCCCCCCCCCCACCACCGGATAAAAAAGTCTGGAAGAAACACTGGCTGTCTGTCTAATGCCTCTGGAGTAGGACTGCTGACTGGAAAACCAAATGTGGCAGCAATACGTGGCAGACATATGCGACAGATATAGGTGACAGATAGCCGCAGGTGTTCCGTGACTCACAGTCACAAATGTTTTCTTTTATCTCGAAGCATCCAGTGGGGGGGGGGGGTGTCAAATGTATCTATGGAAGTGTGTGGCTTACAGTGGTAGGTCACATGATGAGGTAAGCAGGGTGGGTAGGTGCACGTGATGAGGATTAGCAGAAGCGTGAGTACCTTACCTTGTATAAGGAGACGTTCTTGTCGTGCGTGCTTGCCTCTGCCATATCCGCCTTACTCTAGTGGAAGGGGGGGGGGGGGGCGAGGCCAAGTAGAAATGTGTCTTTATTACTTGTGAGTTTGGTGTCATTGATATTTGTAGATTTTATAACAAGCTAAACAATACTAAATGGGACGGAGTGGTCTAGCGGAAGAGAGCTGGACTGCTAACCCGTAAGTCTCGAGTTCGAATCCGGGTACCTAACTCGCGTTAGGGAAAGTAAAGGCGGCTGGGCATAGAGCTGACCACACTATCTCTTCATATGCTGAGGTCACAGAAACAAGTGAACTCTACTTCACTTGCCCCATAGACCGTCAGGTTTTGAAAGGGAAACTTTTTTACTTTAAACAATACTAAAAATACAGTTCACATTACCAAATGTCTTAAGTATAACTAATCTTTTTTAAACGCCGAACAACAATAACATTGTATAACATGTTCTTATGGTGTCTTTATTTTTGTGTGGTATTTGTGTGAACAAAAGTGAGATTCGATAAGACAATCTCAGCTGGATTCTATGTAAAACGAAATTAATTTTTTTTCCAAAAAAAAAAAGATCAATCCGTCTTTTCTAGAAATGTCCTACTTAAACCCATTTGAAAGCACTTCCATAACTTTTCTTAATAAATGCCTAGCGCTACCATTTCTTATCTGTGTTAAGGAACCTTTTAAGAGGAAACCAACCTGTCGAAGAACGAAGGAAAACGTCGACTTTGTGTTGTTTCTTGTCATCGGCTGGAGTTCACTAGGGTCAATTTTCCACCAATCATTTTGATCGTTGATTCGTTTGCGTTTAATCCTGTTAGCGGTCAATGAACAGCAGTCGCAATGAAAGAAAAAACAACAAATTACTGACATTCTTAGTGGGTGGGCAATCAACATATAGTAGGTAGGCAATCAACATATATAAAGCTATGATAATTGTCGGGATATATATATATATATATATATATATATATATATATATATATATATATATATATATATATATATATATATATATATATATATATATATCCCCAAGAAACAAACAAACACGCACACACACATATACCTCCAGCGTACAAAAACACTCGTACCACCTAGAAAACCACACACATACCTCACGTATATGAAGCATATTCCAACACAGGCCAAGATGAAGACAGCAAAGGTCACCGTGAGAACAATGGTCAGCAGGTTCGAGTCTGGGGAGGTGGGTAATACATTGGACCCACTAGACAACGTGTGTAATGCAGTGGGTAAATACAATCGACCAACTAGACAACGTGTGTAATGCAGTGGGTAAATACAATGGACCAACTAGACAACGTGTGTAATGCAGTGGGTAAATACAATCGACCAGCTAGACAAGACGTACGATTAGTATTCAACAATACATGGTGCTGTCTCACCTTGACTACAAATGTCAAGTCGACCTCCAGTACGACCAAACCTCTACTTTATCTTTTAGATATCAACGTATGTTTCACAGTACATATGTCAGGGAAACAAATGCCAGCTTTAAACTCAAGGTAAATAAACTACAGATATTATCTGTCAGCCCCACCACAAGATGTCATCTGTTGATTTCAGTGCTACATCTCAACTGTCACTGTAGCTCAAAGTGTGATTTGTCCCATCCGTCTACCAACATGTCATATTACACCTCCATTTACCAACATGTCATCTGTCACCTCCATCTACCAACATGTCATCTGTCACCTCCATCTACCAACATGTCATCTGTCACCTCCATCTACCAACAAGTCATCTGTCACCTCCATCTACCAACGTGTCATCTGTCACCTCCATCTACCAACATGTCATCTGTCACATACATCTACCAACATGTCATATGTCACCTCCATCTACCAACATGTCATCTGTCACCTCCATCTACCAACATGTCATCTGTCACATACATCTACCAACATGTCATATGTCACCTACATCTACCAACATGTCATCTGTCTCCTCCATCTACCAACATGTCATCTTTCACCTCCATCTACCAACATGTCATCTGTCACCTACATCTACCAACAAGTCATCTGTCACCTCCATCTACCAACATGTCATCTGTCACCTACATCTACCAACATGTCATCTGTCACATACATCTACCAACATGTCATCTGTCACCTACATCTACCAACATGTCATCTGTCACATACATCTACCAACATGTCATCTGTCACCTCCATCTACCAACATGTCATCTGTCACCTCCATCTACCAACATGTCATCTTTCACCTCCAACTACCAACATGTCATCTGTCACATACATCTACCAACATGTCATCTGTCACATACATCTACCAACATGTCATCTGTCACCTCCATCTACCAACATGTCATCTGTCACCTCCGTCTACCAACATGTCATCTGTCACCTCCATCTACCAACATGTCATCTGTCACCTCCATCTACCAACATGTCATCTGTCACCTCCATCTACCAACATGTCATCTGTCACCTCCGTCTACCAACATGTCATCTGTCACCTCCGTCTACCAACATGTCATCTGTCACCTATATTTACCAATTTGTAACATTTCAACTTTATGTAATGTCACCCCCCACAAACCACCATGTCATGTGTCACCCCCACCAAACCACCGTGTCATCTCACCTTTGGCTGGACAGTGCTCACCATCAAACCCACAAAGGGGCACGTCCATCACGTGACCCCCATCCTCACCCGGCCAGAACGTCTTGTAGCCAGGGTCCATAACTAGGCTTGTTTGCACGGCACTGAAGAGCCCCACCTTCTGTGGTAAACAGGTTACATCTCACATTCAGGGCGGGGGGGATGGCAATGCACTAAGTATGTCAACCCTGCCCCTCCCCCCCCCCCCTCGAACGAAATTGAATGTATACAGAAAATATAAAGATATACTTTAAGCAGTGTTGTCTCCCCCCCCCCCCCCCACCGTCAGAAATTTCCAATACCGCTAAAATTTTAAAAGATCCGACATCCCACCTTCCTCTCCTCCCCGGGAAAAAAAAATTGTAAGGTGGCATTCCTTATAAATTCCAATTAGCTATCCGTAAAATTAATTAATTAAAACAACGTGGATGTTTTAAAAAGTACGTTGTTAAAGCGAAAATAATGTGATATTTCTTGTTAGAGTAATGTATGATTTTGCTTGGTAAAGTACTGTATAGTGAATTTGCATGGTAAGTGTTGTATTGTGTGTTTGCTTGGTAAAGTATTGTATTGTGAGTTTGTTTGGTAAAGTATTGTATTGTGAGTTTGCTTGGTAAAGTATTGTATTGTGATTTTGCATGGTAAGTGTTGTATTGTGATTTTGCTTGGTAAAGTATTGTATTGTGAGTTTGCTTGGTAAAGTATTGTATTGTGATTTTGCATGGTAAGTGTTGTATTGTGATTTTGCTTGGTAAAGTATTGTATTGTGAGTTTGCTTGGTAAAGTATTGTATTGTGAATTTGCATGGTAAGTGTTGTATTGTGAGTTTGTTTGGTAAAGTATTGTATTGTGAGTTTGCTTGGTAAAGTATTGTATTGTGAGTTTGCTTGGTAAAGTATTGTATTGTGAGTTTGCTTGGTAAAGTATTGTATTGTGAGTTTGCTTGGTAAAGTTTGTATTGTGCGTTTGCTTGGTAAAGTACTGTATTGTCAGTTTGTTTGCAATGGAGTTATACACGTGTTGACTCCAAACTCATACACATTATAATACAGTAACATTCAAGGTGCCTTTATTGTGTCCGTCAAATGTCGTTATGCCCACGTTCATACAAATCACACTACAGATACCACAAAGGTGCCGTTATCTATGTCCCACATATGGACATTATGTCGACTTTCATACAAATCACACTACAGATACCACAAAGGTGCCGTTATCTATGTCCCTCATATGGACATTATGTCCACTTTCATACAAATCACACTACAGATACCACAAAGGTGCCGTTATCTATGTCCCTCATATGATAGATGCCAATATCTGTGAGTCTATGACCCTCAGGGCTGATTCTAAAAGACCCGGAAACTCCTGGGAGAGAAAAAAATTAATTTGGCAACAATTTTAAATATTATGTCAACAAAATGTTAACAAATTTATTCTTCACAAAATATCAACTATCAAATTGTGTGTACTAAAAGTGTTAACAATCTGTAATTTTTTCAATATAATAACAGATGTTAACAAATTATGTGTATTCAAAATGTTAAGAATGTATAATTTTAAAAAAACAAGTTAATAAAAAGTCTAGTGACAATTTAAGCGCAATTTTCTTTAATTAAATTTTTGTGACCAAACAAAAGGATATTTTTGAAAACTTTCTTCGGCAATATTATTCTAAATTATGGCAGGAATCGATTGGTAAATGTTTCAAGTCGCTAAGTGGTCTGGTTGTCGAGATATAGGCCAAAAACTGCATTTTTTCGAGGTTTTTTGGCTTTTCCGGGAAATCCAGGAAGGAATTTTGGCCCACAATCATTCTCGGAACTTGCTTAACATATTTGCTTTTGAACTAGTCCTCGATATTGCTTCGTTGAGGAGGAGATACGACTTAAAGCTGCGGACCCACATCCATCCAGAACGAATTAATAATAATCGCAATTGTCAGTATGGAAATTGCGCTAAAAATAACAGCTATAAACGAAAAGTTGACCCAAGATTTGTTAACAATTACACACCTTTGAATGTTTTGTTCTTCATGTGCTCAGTGACCACTGTCCAGTTGCTGACGTCACGGCCGCTGGCCATGGTCTGGTTGACGGCCGACAGGTAGAGGCTGAAGGCGTTGAAGTAGGCTGCTAGAAGGTAGGGCTGGGCCAGGGTTCCAGGCGGCGGTCTCTCCTCCTGACGCCCCGGGGAGTTTTTAATTAAAACTCTAATTAACTGGGCGATTGATTTGGGTAATAAGAGTCGGTACGATAAGACAGTTTCGCAGAGGCGTAGCGAGGGGGGGTGCGGACAGCACCGGGTGACACCATTTGGGGGGGGGGGTGACACCAAGGCAAAAAAATAGTAAAATATATAAAGAACAATTTGAGGGGGTGCAAACCGAAAGTTTGAGAGGGGGGTGCAAATCGAAAATTGAAAGTTTGTCCCCGGGAAGGGTCGGTACGCCTCTGAGGGGGTGACAACATTAAGTGCCGCACCGGGTTACACCCGACCTCGCTACGCCACTGCAGTTTCGTCACAGGTAGGTTTTTTTTTTGGTCGGTAACTCTTGGTTAGGATTATGGTTAGAATAGTGGGATAAGGGATATGATGATGGTAGTGGTTGGTCGCAATTAGGATCACGGTTAGGGATATTCAGAGAGGGTTCGTATGGGTTAGGTTAAGGGGTATGGTCAGTGTATCCCGAGTGAGAGTAAATAGGAGGAATAAGATTAGGTTAATTAGGTAAGTCTAGTGCGGACTATGTTTTTCTATAGGATTACGATGAGCTCATTCGGGTTAGGACTAGGATCATGGAAAATATCAGGCTCGCGTTAAGGTTATGGGAAGAATACAATTTCTCTATCATACGCAGGTCTATAATAAAATAGTTAATAGTATACTTTTAGTTACTAGGTTAAAAAATGGAATTATAATTGTTTTTAAAGAAGAATTGTGTTCTATAAAAAGTTTGGTAATTTATTTAATTTACTTAATGGAATGCTTAAACACCTTACAGATTTAGCATACAAAAAAGAATAACCTAATGAACTTAATGATTTAGCATGGCTGGTAAATGTGAAAGAGAACTTGCCTGATCTTCAGACGTAGACCGTACGTAACTGGATGTAACGTTACC